ATATACCTGCCCGTAATAATTCATGTACACAGCCACATAAGCCAAAGTGGAATTTCCCCCCAAGCCACTTCCCACAGGTGAGTCTGGCAGGTCCTTGCAAGGCTTGTTTTTTCTCAGCGCAGCTGAAGCTGTAACCCAAGGCGATGTGCTCCGAGTTCTGTGTTCTTTCCGTTACGTGAGACAATGCATGTAAAATACTAGTAAAACCACTGGTATGCAGTAAGCACTCAAATGTTGGCTGAGGTTTTCAGTTTTATTTCTATTAATTTTTAAATTAAGAGAATTAGCTGAGGAATTAGTGACTACTTCACACATATTTTGTCCTCCTCACGACACTAAGTACAGGGCGTATGGGAGGTGTTTGACAAAGTCTCGAGAAGGTTGGAAGGTGCAGAAGATTATTTTAACAGACACTCAAGGGTGGTGCAGAGGAAGCAGACGGGGAGGACAGACATGAATTTTTATATGTCAGGGTATGCTCGCTGACCTTCAAGGCCACACTGACCCTAAAGTTTATGGAGCACCTCGCCCCTCCAGGTGTCGGAGAGGAGTGTCCCTTCCACGGGGTGAGTGTGGCCACCAGCATTGGTCAGGCACACCTGCCCAAGGGGTGCTCTGGCCAGGGGGACCGTGTCCCCAGACAGGGGGCCTGGCCCACCGCCTGGGAACAACACAAGTCCCATCCTCCTGTTTGGGAGTGGCCTCTGCTCCCCCACCTCTGGGAAGGAGCTTGCTACTAGCTGTCTCCCAAGGTTGTTCATTCTGTCCGCAAGCAGCCTGGATTTCTGGAAACTTCTCTGTGGCACCCCACACTGTACTTGCATTTAAAAGTAACTTTGCCAGAATGTAATCACACTGAGTCCAGCCTCCACTCACAAGTGGCACGGTTGGTTGCTGTTCCAGAAGGAAGAATTTCTATGCCAGCGAATGTTCATCGGCTCTATGAGCCAAGACGGGCAGTTCAGGCTGAAGTTAGCTTCTTCGGGCAAAGGGCGCAGGGAACAGGAGGCTCTTTCACATCCAGAAACGGATCCTCTGTGTGAGGGTTGGTTGTGTAACCGAATGCAGGCCCGGCTGCCTGCGCTGGGAAAACCGATACTCAGGAGGCAGGTGCCAATGTAAAGGAAAGGGGTTTGCTTTCACTGTTGGCCACCTGGAAGATGGGGACTCTCAGCTCAAAGCCCATCCCCCCGCCCCCCCCCCCCCGCCCCTTCAGTGGTGGCAGAGGCTTTAGAAGGAAGGCGAGGGGAGCAGAACAAAACCATCAAGGGAGGGGCTTGAAAAGTTCTCCACCTGCAGACAAGCACAGTCCATTCCGATAAAGGCTAGTGACGGTCCGGTGTGCATCACCGTGGTTTAGTCATCCTGGCTTGTCATTTCAGCTTCACGTCATCCAGGCTCCAGAGCTGAAGGTCAGCAAATCCCGGAGCTGGGATGCCTGGAGGTCAGTCTGTGTCTTTTGAAGTCAGCTCCAGGGATTCTTGAACAAACAGGCTGTTCATCTACAAGCCACACATCAGTCAGAATCCGCACTTCCAGAAACAGTGTGGGAAGGATGGTGGGTGGGTTCCAATTTCCCACAATTACAGTTTTCCACTGTTACAGGCCCCCTGGCCAATCTCTCTTCCATGTCTATGGAAGTTAGAAGGCTTTAGCCAAAACATTTAAGAAAATTAGAAAAATTCAGGATGCAGTGTAGTTCATAGGCGAAAAATAAAATTTTAGAGACAATTCACTGAATTAGAGTTTAATATTTATAACTATGCATAATGGATTCTATTGAAACATTTTTCTCCCAAAATCACCCTCATTTTTATCAAAGAGCCAAATCAAGACGAATTCATTTCCTGCATTAAGGCCATTTCAGTCTGACCTGATTATTTGCATGAACTCAATAGCAACTGATCGCACAGGCCTTCCTGTGTATACTTGCTGGGATGCAGCAGGGAGTTTGTGGGCTGAGCTCTCATTAGCCTCTCGGGGCAAAGAAACCAATCCATACAGCGGCCATCGAGCTTTGTCTGCAGTGCCTATGCGTTCGGGTAAACTCAGGTTCTGGAGCTCCTCAAAATGCCTTGGTTGGGGTTCTTCCTTGCCATCTCCCAGGAAAGCAGCCTTCGCTCCTTACCTGAAAGGCGCCATGAACCTTCTGAATAAGCCAGGGGCCAGGCCATGTCTCCAAGGGGCTTTTATTGGCTCCAAAGTAAGTCTTTATTCCTTGAAGCTTTTTGCAGCCATTCAGAGTCTAGGCAGGTCTCTGGCAGACATGACCTTTTGGTCAAAGTCTTGGTTAATAAATCCACAATTGGAAACTGGAAGATATCAGATTTCTATGAGATTCATGCAAATAAATAAATTGCTATGAAAAATAATATACTCATTAAGAGTTTCCAAATTCTGGAGAGATCAGGTGGAGAGAAAAATATAAATGCTTCAGTATTGCTACAATTTACCAAATTGGTATATGAAAAGTTTTTTAAAAAAATCAACAAGCACCCTGGCTGGCGTAGCCCAGTGGATTGAGCACGGGCTGCGAACCAAAGTGTCGCAGGTTCGATTCCCAGCCAGGATAGATGCCTGGGTTGCAGGCCATAACCCCCAGCAACTGCACATTGATGTTTCTCTCTCTCTATCTCCCTCCCTTCCCTCTCTAAAAGTAAATAAATAAAATCTTTTTAAAAAATATAAAAAAATCAACAAGCATCACTTAATTTTACAAAACTTGTAAGTGAATGAATGATGGTGAAATTTCTAGAACTTAAGAGAAGCACTTCTCAGAATTCCGGAATGCCTGAAGCGCCCCTCTCCACCCAGAAATGATGCAGAATGTTGTTTAGAATGGCCTGGAATTTAGCTCTCTGGTGTAGGACGCCTGGCTTGCCCCTTCCAAACAGCCCTGGGTTTGCAGGAGCTTGCTCTTTAACTGCCAATGGAAAGCTTGGAAGCGCAGAAATGTGGCTGTGCCCGAGGGGGGAAGGCAGCGGTGGGCACAGGCCCTGTGCTCCCTGTGTGAATGGCAAGACCCGGTTACTGGCTGAAATGTCCTGAGTTGGTGTTCCCTGTTCTGTTTGCAGTGTCCTTGAAGGCTGTGCGTCTGGATCCTGGCTTTGTTCTGCAAGCTGCTTCACCGAGCTTGCGCTGAGGGGCGTTTGTCTGACCGCGCCAGCGGGCCTGGGTGCGAGCTCATCACATTCATCGTGTGTTGGTAGTGGGTCCTGTAACACCCCCCCCCCCATCTATGTACCCAGTTCTGTAAGCCCTTTAAGCCCAGAAGGCTAAGCTTATTTGGCCTGGTTTGAAAAGGTGTGTCTATATAAATTTTTAACATTCTTACATATTTCCATGAAGAAAGAGTTTCTAAATTTAATTTCCACCGGGTAGAGTATTTTTTAGTAGGTGTTCCGAGGGTTTACATCTGTGTGTAATATTTGTGCCTGGTGGGTCCAGAGACACTTGGGGTCCTGGTGCGCCCGTGCCGGCATGTCTCACGCTTCTGTGACTCGCCGAGAATGTACCCTATCTTTGCTTTCCAGGTGTCTGGCTGGAATTTAAACTTTGACTTCTCCCACTCGGACCCTCGGCCCTTCCAGATCCCACCCACACACCCGCGGAGGCCCTGAGCCCTCACAGGGGTCCGTGCTTGGGGCTTCCGTGGACCTCCCCAGAAGCTCAGAGCCTCTTTTCATTTGAAAATTTTTGCTGCTGATCACTTCCGAAAAATAAATTCAAAGGGTACATTTTTTTTTAATAGTAAACTTACAATGCTTAAGAAAAATGTTTCCAGAAACATACAGTTCTGGGATTTCTTTATAAGTGGCGCATGAATATATATATATATATATATATATATATATATATACACACACACACTTTGTGTGAAAATGTACGCCACCCTGAAGTATAACGGGTACAACGCTCTTCCGTAGAAGTCAACGGGCTCGACGGGAGGGCGCACACTGAAACTCGGTAGAAGCCGACTAATAGGCCCAATCGGCCTCCAGCAGTGCCAAACGTGGACACCGGTCCCTTTCAGAAGGACACGCCTTCAAAAATCGTTACCACTTTGAGAGGCGGGGAAAAGGCATTTCGTTAGTTTGCACTTTTCTTTTTATGATGGAGTTGATACCTCTTTGTATTTTATGTTTGGCCCTTTTCTGAGACAGAAACAAGCCATGTTGGGCTTTAGAGCGGTGACGGGCTCCGGCTCGGACGCTCCGGGCGGGGTGCAGGCAGGGGGGCTCCGGTTCACTGTGCTGCAATGTAAGTGCGACCTTGGCCGGGAAAAGGGACACCCGCGGGTCGTCAGGTTCCCCGTGCCCTGCGCCGCGCTCTTCTCGCAGGTTTGGACACAGGCCACCCACCTACTGGGACCGAAAGCGCAGATGCTGGTGCATCCGAAGCACCTGCCGGCTCGCCATTGTGGGGCTCATCCCGCACCTGCAGGTCCCATTCCCCAGGGCTCCGCCGCCCAGACCCTGGAAGCCGCTCGGCCTAATGGGGGTGGGGGGGGCTCGCTGCGCCACGTGACCACTGGGTCCCAGCCCGGCCCGTCCGGGGCGCATGCACAGCCGGATACCTGGGGCCACAGCGTCGCCGGCGGATGCAGTGAGGCCCCTGCGCGTGGGTGGACCTCTCTCCAAGGACACAGCGGTCAACAGCCTGCGGCGTCGGCTGAGCGAGCCGGCCGCCTACGGGTCCCTTCCTGTGACCGTGTCTCTAGCCCCCGGCGCCCCCGCCCCCTGCCAACTTTGGGCATGCGCACTGGCCCTCCACGCGTCCCGCGGCCGTTGCCATGGGTACCGGAGCCCAGGCGCCCCGCCCCCAGCGCCAGCGCCAGCGCCAGCGCCCCGCGGACGTGGCCGCGCCCCAGACCGGGTGAGGGGGTCGGCCGGGATGGGGGCGGGGAGGTGGTGGGGGCGGGGCCTCTTCCTGGGTGGCCCGGGCCGGGGCGGGGCCTGGCGGCGGGGCGGGGGCCCCCTGTCGGGTCCCGGGGGCCTGGCCCCGGATTGGCCCGGTTGGGGTTGGGTCCGGGGCCGGGTCCTTGCTGCGCGGGGTCCAGGGCGAGGACTGTGGGCCTTGTTGGGGGCGGGGACCCCGTCCCGAGTGGAGGTGGGGACCCGCGGTGGGTCGGAAGCGTGGCGGGGTAGGGGGCGCAGGGCGGGTCCGGTCCGGGAGGGTGATGTGGCCCCGCCCGCTCGTCCGCGCCCATCCCCGCCCGTCCCCGCCCCCCTCGCGGCGTCCCGGCCCCGCAGGAGCCGCCGCCCGAGCTTCCGCGCGCTGCAACCAGCCGGACAGGGGCGCACGGACGCGCGGACGCCGGAACCTGGCGGGAGCATGTGGAAGCTGGGACGCGGCCGGGTGCTTTTGGACGAGCCCCCAGAGGATGAGGACGGCCTGGCCGGGGGTCCGCTGCCGGCCGCCGACGCCACCTCGGCGCAGGTGAGGGGCGCGCAGGTGGGGGCCGCGCAGGTGACACCAGGGCCGAGCAGACCGTGGCGCGCAGGTGAAGTTGTGCAGGGGCGCCACGCAGGGACGGGGGCGCAACGTAATGGTGCGCAGGTGCGGCCTGGGCCCTGCGGCCCGTTCGTTGGTCTTCCGTGTTGTCCACCCCCACTCGAGATCAGGAACGCTGGGCAGGGGAGGGGCACCTGGGACGCTCGCGCGTGGCCGGGGCCTTGCGGCTGCGGTGGACGCTGCATGGGACCTTGGCAGGTCGCCCACGCGGGGCGAAACAGTGAGCAAGGCCCGAGTCGCTGCGATCTGCGCGCGCCCGCCTGCGGGACCAGAAAGCTCTTGGCCACCACAGCAGCGTGCCAAGTGGACGCGGCGCTTGTTTGGGTAACAGCTATTTCCCTTTCTTCAACCTTTGATTGTCTGGAGGAAGAAGACAGATGACCTTTCTACAGAAAATGGAGACACTGCTCTGCAGGTTCGGAGACATGCTTGGAATGCTCAGAATTCGTTCCTTAAAGAGGGTCCTAAGTGGATCCAGTGTGCCGTGCCTCCGCGCTCCCCCCTTTTTTCAATGCGCATTAGCGCCTTCATTCCCTTTGGGCCCAGGGTTCGGGTCAGAAATTCAGCGCTCTCTTTTGAAGGTGGTCAGAAAATCCCTTTCTTTGCCAAGTGTTTGGGAACTGCTGCTGTGCGAGGAGCTGTTAGGAAGTTAGAGACGACGCGCGTCCTTCTCGGGACTTGTGAGGGCTTCGCCGGTGGCTTCTGTTAACCCGCTCGTGTGCGCAAGCCTTTAAGTACGCTTCCTGCCGGAACTTCTCTCCCAGGTTACTTTGAGAGAGTATCAGTGCTTGCCGCAGTTTTTAACCTTTTAAATCTCAAAACTTGATGATGGGAATTTATATGTGGTTCCAGAGTAATTTAACACTCTGAATAACTATATTGGTCAGAGATAAGGAATATTATTCTTGGATGAAATCTTTAAACATTTTAAAATTGATTCTCCTGTGTTCTGCTTCTCTTTCTCCTGATGAAGCCTAAAAACCTGTGTGTTTTCCTCTCACTTTTTATTTTGAAAAATTTATAACACAAGGAAACGTTGGAAGAACAAGCGGTTGAACAATGTACTCCGTCTAGATTTGACCATTAGTAACGCAATCATGGAAGGTTTTTTCTGGTCTTCTGGTTGGCAGGATGGTCTCTACCCTTTTGCTGGCTTTTTTGTGTGTGTTTTACAGATGACGTGTTAGGCACCCAGCAGAACTGCGTGGAAAACACAGTTCCCACGCACCCTCTGCCCCCCCAGGCACCGCCTCCCCCATCACCACCCCGTCTGTGCGGCCCTGGGACCTGCAGGACAGCCCCCCAGAGCCCCTGGTTTCCCTTATAGTCGTTTTGACGAACATAACATGAAATGTATCCAAGATTATCACGGCGCATAGTTTCGCTGCCCTAAAAACTTCCTTGTTCCACTTACTCATCTGTCCCCCAACCCCCGATCTGTCGCTGTCCCCACAGTCTCGCCTTCTCCGGGACGTCACAGGGTTGGAATCATGCAGTGTGGCCTTTCCAGACCGGCTCCTTCACTCGTCACACGTGTATCAGGTTCCCCCACGTCTCTTCCCGGCTGGAGAGCTGCTCTGTTCTCAGTGCCGACACCGTCCCTCTGTCTGGAGGGACCGCGGTTTGTCTGTCACCCACTGACGGGCGTCCTGGTTGCTTTGTGTTTCTGCCACTCTGGGTGGAGCTGCCTTGCACCTGAGTGTGTGGGTCTCTGTGTGGACGTGGGCTGTAATGCAGATACACCCCGGGGAGCGAGCTTGCTGGGCTGTGTGGCAGGGGCAGGTGTAGCTTGTGGGAACCGCCAGCAGTCCTCCCAGCCGGCTGCCTGTCTGCGCTCCCACCGGGACCGAGTGCGAGTCCTGCCACTCCGCGTCCTTGCCGCCCAGGGTGTGGTCAGTGCCGGTGTTGGTCGTCCTGACGGGGGTGTTGTGGCCTCGCTGTGGTTTTCGTTTGCGTTTCCCTGGTGATGGATGAGGCTGGACACCTTTTCATTTGCTTACGTGACACCTGTGTATTCTCCGGCGATGTGCCTTGGAAGATCTTTTGTCCCATTTTTTAATGGGTTGTTCTATTGTTTTGTTGAGTTTTAAGGGTTCTCCTCATGTCTGGGGGGTGAGTGCTCTGTCAGATGCGTGTGTTCCGGGTATTTTCTCCCGGGGCTTGTCCCCTTCGCCTCTCAGCCGCGTGGTTTCGGAGCAGAAGGTTTCCGCTCCGGTGAAGCCCTGACTATCGGTTACTCCTCTCGGGAATCGAGCCTTTGCTGTTGTGCCTGAGCCACCTTCACCAGCGCCCGAGCCGTCTGGGGTTTCTCCTGTCGGCTTCTGGGGGGGTGGGGGGCGCCCGGCTGGCATTCACGTGGCTGTATTAAGGGTATCTTTGGTTTAATGTGCTGAAAGCACTTTTCCACAGAAAAACAGACTAAAAAGTTATTGTGACAGGTTAGTCATACTCTGAATTTAGTTAATTCCTTTGAGAGGACTGGTCCTGATCTAAAAGCCAGTTTCTGTTACAAATAAATGTGACAGTTCATGACAAGTCGGCCGCGAAACTCCTGCCCACGGAATTTTATGGGAAACTGGGAAGAAGGATGAACTCACCGAGTGTGCCGCATTCGGCGTCTCGGCGTCTCATCGGAAGGTGCTCCTGGTTCTCGTCCTCGGACGTCCAGCCCCCCCCCCCCCCCGTCGGCTTGCCCGCCCCGCCCCGCACCAGACGCACGGGCTGGGGGTGCACTTGGCCTTGTTCTGCGAAGTGTTCAGTCTGCACTCAGGTCTGGTGTGCGCAACTTCCTTGAAAATCAGGTCACACAGCTATACTCTGTGTTGTTTTTAAAAAGAAAAAACTAGCTCGTGTTAGGTTCTGACAGCTTTGAGAGGTGAGGTGTCCAGAATCGTTACTGGGATTCAGGACCACTCGGTGTTCCTGAAGTGTGACAGCTGCAGCACCGCAGGGAGACCGTTTCTGGGAGCATCTCCTCAGGCCGCGGAACTTCTTTCTGACGTGAATGCACACCTGTCTTTCACTAGCGTGAACCCGCAGGCGGGGTTTGCGAGGCGGAGCGGTCGCTGCCATCATTGAGCAGCGAGGAGGGACTGGCGCAGGCCAGTTGCGATGAGTCTCGCGTCTGTCGAAACCCTCCGAGCTGCCGTGTGTGCGGGAGGAGCCCCGGGTTGCAGGTGGCGGGCCTCGGCCTCTTTTCCGTGGGAAGTATTGTTACGTTTTTTGTGTCGCTGCCCATGAGACACCTGTGTGCACACGGACGTCTGTGTTCAAAATCACGCATGTGCGTCCCCACGGCCGACCCCGACCCCATCCCTCAGCGTCGTGGGTCACGCGCGAGGCCCCAGTGCCGCTGCCGGGCGGCTCGTCTTCCGGCTGTGGGCAGACACCTGGTGCCAGGCTGGGCTCCTTGGGCCTCTCCCGGCGGCCCCCGGGGTTGCTGCCCCCTCCCCCTCAGCCCTCCGTGAGGCTGGAGAGGCCGTGGGTGGCACGGGGCGCACCGGCGGCCCGGGGCCATGAGCCAGGGCCTCAGCGGCTTTGGGCCAGGGTGCACCAGGATTTAGCAGCTTTAGATTAATGCCTTGGATAACAGACCTCAGAGAATTTTTGGCATATTTTCATGTTAAAATTCTAAGAGGCTTAGACATATTCCATAGGCATCCCCCCCAAAAAACAACCCAGGGGCCATTTCGTGCACTCCTCAATCTGCTCCGGAGACTGGGGGGGTCGGGGCGGCGGGCCTCCCTCCGGGTCACACGGAGCCACCCTCGCCGGGCACCGGGAGCTGCAGTGCAGGTGGCTGCAGGGCAGGGGGCCGACCTTCCGGCATCTCTGGGCCACGGGGCGGGTCCCGCGGTGTCGGCGGAGCCCCGAGCCCCCGGAGGGTGGGCGGGCGGACGGGTTTCAGCCTGATGCCCCTCTCGCTGCTCCGGGCGCGCAGCTGTGCGTGAGCCTCCCCTGAACGGGCCAAGTTGAGCATTGAGATTGCAGCCCCAGGGCCCACGGGGGTAAAGTCCTACCTGAGAAGGTGTGTTTCTACTGGTTCCTTCTGGCCTAGCATAGCGGGACTCTAATATTCACTAAAAAACAGAAGCCGCTGACCACCAACCTCGAGGGAGCTGGCTGGGTCTCCCCGCGTGAACCCCACTGAACAGAGTCTAAGTCACCTGCCCCGGCCTGTGGCCGCTCCCCTCCCCTGCCCCCGGCCTCAGCTGGGCCAGGCCCGGGCGGCGAGGCCTGGAGGAAGCGTGTGCTCTGTGGGGAGGGACGCGCCTGTGTCTGGTGGGGGCGGGTGTGCGGGGAAGGCGAGGAGGCCCCGGCTTCCAGGCTCAGAGCCACAGGAAGCTCAGGAGGACTTTCATCTGCCACTTGGGGGGGGGGGGCAGGCCGCAGACGAGGGGCCGGCGCTGTGGCTTCCTGGCCACAGTTCTCCCGAGAGCGCCCCTCCTCACTGGCCCTGTGGACGGATGGACAGACACGTCGAGGTGTCTGCCCACAAAGTCTGGTGGGCTGCTTTGAGGCCAGACAGACCGTTCTCACTTTGTTCTCACCTTCGCTTCTTCCAGGGACAAGGAGAGGAGGGGCCCCACATGTGCGGGCGGGAGGCGGTCGAGCACAGGGCACGCTGGGCCAACAGGTTTGCCTGGAGGAGGGGCCGGCCTCGGCCAGGAGCTGCCGGTCCCCTCCCGTCTGCAGAGGGGCACCATGAGCCCCCCGGACTGCTGCCTCGGACCGGAGGGGCGGGCGGGAACCGGTTCTGGCCTCTGGAAGGCCCCTGGGTCCCTTTGCGAGCGCTAGTAGCTCTCCGGCAGCCGTGGCCGCAGCGAGCACTGTGTTATCAGGGCCACCGCCGGTCCTCACCGTGCCCTGAAGGTGGGCACAGCCACCGCAGTTCCCTGGGGACCCGGTGCCCCGGCCCGTGGAGGCCAAGGTGGCCCGGGCCCACATTGTCTGCCGCCACTGCCACTGCGTCCCCTGCGGTCCGAGTGCCCGTGGTCCACACTCAGTGCTTTTTGTCTGTGACGTCGCTGCTTCCAGCCGCCCCCAGGCTCAGGCTGAAGTGGCGTCAGCTGCACTTGGCCAGAAGGCGGGGATGTCTGGTGGAGAAAACCCGTGGCTTCCTTCGGGCCGGGGGACGGCGTGCCGGGCACGGGCTCGGTGGCGGCAGTGACACTGAACGAGGCGTCTGAGTCCCAGACACGGACGCCCAACAAGGCAGGCCACGTGTCGCCTGAGTGCCGACCTCGTCGAGCCCGGTGGCCCCCGAGTTTCCCGTGAGAGCGGCGCGGTGACGGCACCGGTTCACTCAGTGTCCTCGGCGCGGCTTCCTCACCAGGGACCTGGCGACACGTCACGTCTGGGGCAGGTGGAGGGCTGCAGACTCGGAAGCGGCAGAGCCGCCAACAGGAGCTGGGGCCCATGCAGGGAAATGCTGAGGGCTCCTGAGTCGGGGCTTCCCGGAGCGTTGCAAGGGTGGCTTGTCCGAGCAGAGGGGCTGGAGGCGGACCACCCAGACAGGCACAAGGGTCTGAGCGCACAGCCCTGGTGCACAGGCGAGGGGCGCTGGCTGGCTTCCCTGGCAGCAGCCGCAGCGGACCTCAGTGGACGCTGTCCTGGGGACCAAAGGCCAGCCCACCCTTCAGGAGGGAGGGAGGGAGTGGGACATGCGTCCGGCTTCTGCCTCACCGGCTGGGGTGCCAGCGGGGCTGGCCTGCCCTGGGTACCTGGGCCACCGAGGTCGCCTGAGAGCGCGGCTGCTTGTTCCGGGGCCCAAGAGCCCGCTGTCCCACAGACGGACCCCGGAAGGCAGGGGTGCCACTGTGCACGGGCCCCGAGAAGACGGTCCCACGGAAGGCCGAGAGGCTCCGGGGCCTGCAGCCGTGCTGCTCGGCCAGAGTCTTCCCCGACGGGGCCAGGCCCCAGGGACGGGGCCTGGTGGCTGTTCTTCAAGTGCCCTGATCCCCGCCAAAAATAAGGAGGCGCACAAAGAAGTGGAAACGTGGACCGACCTAAGGAACAGAATGAACACGTAGAAGCTGAGACCTGTGAGTCCCTAAGGGGTCACGGAAGGGACACGTGAACACAGCGTGAGCGTCAGCAGAGGGGTGCACGGTGTCACGAGGAGCTGAAAGGCGGGACCATGAAAGGCGGGAGCAGAGGGAATAAACTGGAAATAACGTGCAGGGGAGCTTCAGCGGCAGACTCAGGCAAGCAGAAGAAGGAACAAGCGAATGGGAAGACGAGTAATTTGAAATTATCGAGTGAAGAGCAAGAAGAAAGGAGGAGGACAGGACTCCTAAGGCCCCGGAGGCCGTGGGCCCAGGCAGGTGGGCCGGCGGGTGCGTGAGCGAGGGAGGTCCCTGGGGCCCAGGCGCAGCGGCTTTGCCGCCTGGACGCCACGTCAGTGACCGTCGACCGGGTCAACAAAGACCCCTTTGTGCCTCCGGGGCCGTGGACCCCCCCGCCCCCGGCCCACCCGGCCCATTAAAGTTGCAGAGACAACCTGAGACGCGGGGGGGCGGGGGCGGCGAGGGGAGCTTCGGTGTCGGCCTCTCCTCCTGGAAGCGAGAAGGCCCTTTCCACGCCCACCGGGTCTCAGGTTCCCTTTCCTTTTGCCCGTTTCTCTGCCTGGCCTTTTATAAAGTTTCCTAAAACGCTTGATGCTGAGGATATTGGAATTTTACCATTACAAGTTGAAAACTTCCCTAGTATTTTGCTGGGGTTTTGTTTGTTTCCCAAGTTCACGAAGAAGAACCATGGAGTTTGTGGTCGAAGGAAGCAGGTCCCCAGGCCCCCTCCCCACGGGGTCGGCTCTCCAGCTGTCACTCGGGGTTTCAGCTGTTCCCCACCCAGGCGCTTGGCTTCACTCTTCACGCACGTCTCCCCCCCGGGGGCTGGACGAGGCCGGGGGAGTGGCTCCCTCCACGCTGGGGGGTCAGGGCCAGGCCTGGGGGCCGTGCTTCCCCGAGCCTCAGAGAGACGGGCCCCCGCGGGCACGGCGCTGCCGGTCCCAGTGGCTCGGAATCCCAGACGAGGCGGCTTCCCGCGGCACCAGGACACGGGCCTCGCTCCGGCCTCGGCTCCTGGCGGGTGTTCGCTGCCGCGCTGGGTTTCACCGCGCCGTGGCGGGAAGTCTGGTTTTCTCGCAGTCCTCGAGTTTGTGTTCCATCCGGTGCCCTGGCCGCGGGCCCCACGCACGCCACCACCGCCCCGGGCCTGTCTCTAACTCCGAAAATCCTCACCACTCTCCTGCTCTTCCTGTGGGAGTCTGCGAGTGCTGGTGTGTCCACCGTCTCGCAGCCGCGCTTTCCTTGTCCGCCCTGTGGCGGCCCCGTGCTCCGCCAGCCACTCCCCCCACTCAGTGCGTTCCGGCTGCCGGGCCCCAGGTGGCCTGGTGAACCCCTCTTCTCTGGGACGAGGGGCCAGACCCCGTCCAGGGGCCGGCCGCTGGCCTCACCTCCCGGGGCCTTCGAGGTGCCCCTCCCCTGGTGGGGTCCCCAAGCCCTTCCCCCCGCCCCAGATCGCTGTCCGGGAGCGTCAGCCCCTCCTGCTCTGGGCTCCTCCCCGCCGGGCCCTCCCCCACGCCGCAGCTGCCCGAGGTGGGCACGCGGTTGGAAGTGGGTCAGCTTCTCTCCTGTGCATCCGGGGTTGCCCGTGCATGGCTCCCTGAGAGCGCTAAGAAGGGCCACTCGGATCCTCTCCTGTGTCCATGGCTCAGGTGAGGGACGCCCAGCGGGAGGACAGCGCGCACCCCAGGGTGGGGGCTGCACGTCTGCGCCCAGACTCGCACGTCGCCCCCGACCCCGTGTGGCGGGTCAGGAGTCGGGCCCGCGGAGGCGGTGGGCCGTGAGGTGCAGCCCCGGCGCCCTCGGGAGTCCCAGGGGGGCTTGCCCCACCCCACCGGGGGACGCGAGGAGACATCACCCCCAAACCAGGAACCCTCGCCGGACACCAGGTCTGCCTCCTCAATGACCCGGCCTCGGCCGCCAGGACTGTGAGCCGCTGATGGCGGGTGGCATCCCCGTCTGCGGCGTGTCTGTGTCTGTCCTGACAAGGGCCCGAGACTTGGGGTGCAAGCCCAGCACCTGCGGAGCAGGAAACAGTGGGAGTCTCTGCGTCTGTCAGCGCCCCGTCCCCCCCAGTGGACTCTGGGCGTGCAAAACGCGAATGTCGGCTTCATGGACCTACCATGAAGGGACACGGGTCAGTTCACGCGTGTGGTGCACGCAGACATGCGAGTGCGGACTGTGAAACGGTCACCTGTGTCCAGTGCTGCCTCTGCCCGTGTCTCGGGCCGCGGCCTCTCCCTGGCAGGGCCTGGGCCCTGAGCCCCCCCCACTCGCTCAGCAGAGACCGTCGCCGGTCTGACCCACCGCCTGCCGCGGGCTGGAGCTGCCGCCCTGCGGGGCGGAGAAGCAAGGTCTCTCGCTCACGGGCTTCGACGCGGCCCCACTCTGCTCTGGTGGGGACGCCCCTCTCCCCTCTGCGAGCTGGGGGGACCCGGGGGACTGCCGTGGGTGTGGTCGTGGGTGTGGTGTCTGAAAGAAAAGCCACAAACCCGGTTGAACAGGTGAGGAGTAAACCGAGGGACCGGAGTGTGACTGGCAGACACACTGTGCGCGTTTTGGCCGTGGCTCCCGTGGTCCCGTCCATCAGAGCGGTTGGTGCCGCGTGCTCGGGCGAGCGCTGGGCCTCGTCGGTCCCCCGCGGAGCAGCCCCCGAGAACACCGCCCCTCAGTCGGCCACGCCGCACGCCAGCCGCCCCCACCCGGCCCGAGGGGGTCTGCGCGGTCTCCTGCCAAGGGCCTGCCACATCCCTTCCGAGTGCCTGCTGGGGGGGGCCCCCTCCCCCGGTCCTCCCCTGGTCCTCCCCTCGCCCCTCCTGCGGCTTTCCTGCACCGGGCTGACCTCTCTCTCAACCGTTGACCAGGTGCAGGGGGCGAGCTTCCGGGGGTGGAAGGACGTGACCTCGCTGTTCAGCGACGACGACGAGCAACACCTGCTGGGGAGGTGCCGGTCTCCCAAGTCCAGGGGGTAAGTCCCGCCCGAGGGAGGGAGCCGGCCGGCAGCTGAGGGGGTGGACAGTTTGTTTCTCAGACCCGCTGGACCTGGCAGTCGGGGCGGACCTGCAGGGCCAGGCCGGGGCCCTGCACTGATGCTTCGTGGTCCCAGAAATTCAAGGGAAAAAGACTTAGAAGTGCGAAGGATGTAAAAGGCTCTAGGAAATTGAATATATTCAAACTGACACGTTGCTGCTAGTCAATTACAAACGTTTTGAACATTTTCAAAGTGTGATCGGTCCCCACCACCAGGTGGCTCTCTCTTCCCTCCCTGGCCGGCGGGGTTCTGGATTCTCACTTGTGTTCGGCAGATTGCCTGCCAGACGCCAGAGACCGGCGTGCCGGAGGGGGGGTGACAGCACCGTCCCACACCCGAGTCTGGGCCCTGGGTCCCCGCGACCCGCACTGCTCGCACCGGGCGCCGCGCGTCCCAGCGTCCTGGCCTCCCCTCCGAGCCCTGGCCCTGCGTGGGGGCCTGTGGCCCCCTCACCTGTCATCGCTCACGCGGCACGCCTGAGTTTTCCTCGTTTTCCTGTTAGAGATTCACGTGGGGACTTGCGTTCGGCTTCTTCCCTGTGTAAAGTGCTGCAGAAGGACTCCTGTGTTTGTGAGGTGGGCAGAGGGTGAGGTCCTGGCGTCTCCAACACGGAACTCTCTTGTCTTCTGCAGAACCAGCTTGCGGTTAAAGGAGGAGCTGAAGACGGAGAAGAAATCCGGGTTTTGGGACAGTTTGGTTTTAAAGCAGAATCTGCAGCCCAAGAAGCCAGATGAGATCGAAGGCTGGGAGCCCCCCAGACTTGCCCTGGAAGACGTGGCGGCCGAGTCGGGGGGCGGCGCGAGCGGCCGAGCCCCCCGGCCGGGCTGGGAGGAGGGGGCCGCGGGCTCCGGCAAGTACACCAGCCTGGCCGGCCCGGGAAGCAGCTCGCGCTGGAGCCTCAGGTCGGCCGGGAAGCTGGTTGGCATCCGGCGCCAGAGCCGCGGCCAGCTGACGGATACGTGGGAGGAGCTGGAGTGACCGCGAGGCACGCCGTCCCCGCCGTCTCCTGCCGCTACCGCCTGATGCTGCTGCTTCGCATCTCACTGTGCCCTGACCCCCGGGTTGGCCGCGCCGGGGCGTGCTCGCCAGTCTGCCGGTCGCGGTCTTTCCCCGACTAAACAGAGTGGAGTCCACTCTGCCCGTGTCCCCGTTTGGACTTCTGTCTCGCACGCTGGGCGGCGGTTTCCAAACCCGTGGTCGCTGGGGCCACGGCTGGCTTGCCGCTGCCGTCCTGGGCACCCCTGGGAGCCCGACTCGGAGGTGCGGGTGTTGGATGCTGCCCCCGGGGCGCCCTGTGCGATGCCGCCTTCCCCGGCGGCTGCAGCCCTCGGCTCCGCGGCGGCGGGAGGGCTCCGCGGCTGGTTCAGCCTGCGACCCGGACAGAGCGGCTGTGACAGGCGCGCCGTCCAGGCCCCCAGGCAGCCCCGCGGAGGCCGCGTCCTGACCTGGCGCCTGACCTGGACGGCCAGACTTGTTCTCTCAGTACAGTTAAAGCTGGGAAAGCAAATCGCGTCCTCCAGAAGCAGAGGTGGTGTCGGGTCCAGCGCCAGACGCCGCTGCACAGAGGCCCTCCCTCCGCGGCAGGTGCGGACGGTGCTGCTGATGTTCAGGGGTTGTTTTTACTGCTGGGATTTTACATATTGATCTTTATTTTCTTCTGAAAACTTGTTCTTTTTTGATTACAGATTAAAGAATGCTATAGAGTGTGGATCAATTTTAATAAGCTGATAGTGCTGTGATTTTGTGTGGAAACTATTAACTCCCTCGCTGAGGGGCCGCAACTGCGCATAAAACACGGGAAGTGCCTCTTTTCCGGGACACCCAGGGCTTCGCTTTGAAAACGAGATGCGTGTCGTGTTGTGGCTGCCGCCGTGTTGGCGTGGCGGCCCCAGCTCAGGGCCCCAGCAGGGCTCTGCTCCGGGCGCAAAGCCACGGGCCTGTCTCGGGCTGGCGTGGAAGGAGAGGCTCCGTCTCTGGTTACACTCGTGGGAGACGCCGTCTGCGCGTTGCCCAGGGTGCGCTGCGGTGCGGCCACACGTCACTGCGTGTTCCCTTCACCCCCGCCGGACGGGCCAGCGCGCTGGGGGCTGGACGCCTGCTGGGTCCGTGTGTACACAGTCCAGTGTACAGAGGCCGTGTTGCAGGACTGGGCCCCGGAAACCTGTATAATTTTACTAACCAGTGTCACCCCAGTAAGTTCAGTAAAAAATTTAAAAAAGGACAAACACCATGACCTTTCCCTGTCCTGCGAGGTGCCTGGTCTCCTGGGAGCAATTCCCCGTCTTCCGTGTGTGTCTCCCGTGACTCCCGTCTACTGGGCAGCTCCCTCCGCCGCCCCCCTCCCTCCCCCCGCCGCATGCCCTGGGGCTCCCACCAGAGCAGCCCGATTTCTCTCCCAGCACCACAGTGTCGTAATTTAGGGACAAGGACCGTGACCTCAAAACGTTAACGCCCTTTCAGGAAAAGTGCCCACCCCTGAGCCGCAGGGACTGCGAGTTCGACCCCTGGTCGGGGCACATCCACGGACCAGCCAACACAAGCTCAAGTAAGTGGGTCAACAGGTTCGTGTTTTTTTCCTCTCTGAAAATCCATAACGCAATTTTTTAAAAAAGAAAAATTAATACAAAAAGTACCAAAACCTGAAAAGTAATACAGGCACGGAACTCACGGGGGGGGGGTTAACAAGCATGAACCGAGACCCCGTGCCCGCACACGCTTGGAGGGAACGTGAGACTGAGCCCCCGCCGGGCGCCTCGGGAGCTGTGAGAAGCGGGTCCTCCGCCGCAGGGCCCCTGCAGCGCTGGCTGGGGCCCTGAAAGCCCGGAATCGCCACCCACAAACACACAAAGCTACACAAAGCTACACGCGCTGACACGCCGAGAAGGAAGAGGGTAAAGGAAGGAGCAGAAATGAGTCTGCGGGCCCCCTGGCCTGTGAGTTCAGGGATGAAAGCGGGCAGCGGGTGGTGCGTCCTCCTCCCCCCGGTGGCCAGCGGCCGGCAGTTCCTTTGGGCAGCCCGGTGACAGGTGGTTTCTGACACGGTCATGCGTTACTTTAAAGATAAAACCATCTTTAAAAGGTCTGAAAGGTTTAAACGAATGATACCAAAACCGCTCTCTCCCCTTTTCTCGGTGCGATGCCAGGCGGATGGAGTGAGGTCAGCAGGCGTGGCGTGCGGTCCCCGGAAGCAGGCTCCGTCCTGGCCGGCCAGCACCGCAGGCTGCCCGTGTCGCCGGCCCCTCCACCGCGCAGCCGAGGGCCCAGTGCCACCGCTGTGCGCCACGGCCGGCACAGCCGCTGTGCACACTCACAGCCCGATCTCCGGACGCCGGAGCATCTCCTGGGGCTCGCTCTGCGCTCACAGAGGGATCGTCTGACATGACCAGCGCAGCAACACACATCTTACGAAAAATAAATATTCTGCACAAGGTATTTACACGGATCGAGGGTTCCGCCCCCGCCCCCGGAGATGGCAAAACCCAGAAGCCATCACCGCGAGGAAGGGCCCTGTTGGCCGCCGGTGTCTGTTGGGCAGAGAACCTGGGGCTGGAAATGCAGCGTCTCCTGCGGCCCAGGCTTACGCGTTTGCAAGGCTGTGGATCGCCACGTGCTTGCAAGAAAGGGGCTTTCTAAAGAAGTTGAGTTTGCGTGGGTCCCCGGTCCCGGGCAGCTCGTCCTGGCCCTGTCTGTGGCCCTCGGTCACAGGGACCCCTCCTGGTTCCACCAGCTCCGTGGTGCTGTGCGGGGCCGAGGGCCCCTAAAACTTGAAGAGGTCGATGAAGTGCTGGGGCGACACGGGCGTGAAGCAGCTGTCGGGGTCGGCCGCCGTGCAGGGGTGGCCCGAGTCCTGCGGACACAGAGAGAGCGGGTCACACAGGTCGGCCACCGGCTGTTCGCGTGCGCGGTCCCCAGGCCCCACGTCCCAGGCGGCCCGCGGTCGCACAGAAACTTCCAGGTGGATTTTTGCTCGAGCAGACGGACAGGCAGCTGGCCCCGCCCAGAGGAAGGGATGCCCGGGGTCCCTGCCGCCCAGGGTCCCGCGTGCCGCCCCGGAACCGCCCACGTTCCCACTGCAGCGATGGCCCAGGGCCGTGCGTAACAGGAAGGAGGTTTTATGGGAGAAGACGGGCGAACTTCAGAGAACGTGGCACCCAGAGACTGCCTGCCAGCGGGCGTTAGAGGCCCAATCAGGCGACCGCATTCTCTGGGTGGCCGTGGCCGGGGGTGGGACGGGCCGCCCCAGGGGCTACGTGCTGACTGCCACCGACGGGAACGCCACCGGACACGTCCAGAAATTCCCCGAGAGGCTGAGCCTCCGCTCAAGCACAGGGCTCTGCAGCATTTCACCAGAACCCCTTGGCGGTGGCTGAAATAAGCGAGACCCTCAGTCTGGCCACTGGTCCCAGCTGGGAGCCGCTGGGGCTGCCGCCCGAGCACACGGCGGCCTGGGCAGGGCCAGGCGGCTGCGGGGCCCACCCCGAGCGGGGCAGGGCAGGGAAGCGCAAGGTACCTTGAGCAGCAAAGCGAGGCGGCAGTCCTCGGGTGCGAAGGCGGCCGGAGGGTGCGAGGGAGGGAAGGGGGAGAGGTTAGAAGGCACCGGCTGACGCACGCTGTTTAGGGGGATGGCTGGGACTGGCGGTGACGCTGGGCAGGGACCTCATTGCCGTGAGCACCCCAGACCCCAGCAAGTGCCCCGAAGACCCGGGACGCAGAGACGGGCTTCAGACCCGGACACGTGTCCTGCGTCCCTCCAGGCGTCTCGGGGGACAGCGGTGAGGCTGCGGCGGCGGCTCCCCACCCCCAGGCTCTCCCCACCCCCGGGCTCTCCCCACCCCCGGGCTCGCTGGAAGGAGCGAAGCAGCACTGGCGTGTCCACACGGGCTGACACGGAGAACAGGTGCGATGGGTGTCTGGGAGGCTCACAAGCTGCGGTGGTCTCGCAGTGACCACAGAGCCGGAGCCCTGGCTCAGGTGTCAGCCCCCGGCTGCCCGCGGGGCACCGTGGGGACATGGCGCTGATGGCGACAGGCTGTGCTCGTGTTGCTCTCTGTCACTCTCGCGCGCTCTACAACGCCCGCCACCCACCTGCCCTGCGTGTGGGTGGGAGCCCCTGCCGCCCGTCCTCTGAGCTGGGCCCGGCGCCCAGGCAGGCAGCTGCACCGTCAGGGTTGTGTGGATGCCTCTGTGATGTCCACTTGGGCGAGGCCACCTAGTGACACTTCTCACGTGTCCTCGTGTTCAGCGGCATGTCACTTGACAGACAGGTGGGGTGCTGACAGGGAGGAGCCTGAGGCCCAGGCTCAGCGGCCCTCGAGGCGCCACCGGCTCCCAGTGGGGTCGCCCAGGGTCACTGTCGGGCTCGAGGCGAAGCATGGACAGCATCGCAGGCAACACAAGGTCAAGGGCGAGGAAACCGGGGTCTACCACAGAGGGGGCTGCAGGAGCTGACCCTTGGGCGGGAACCACCGGTGCGTCTGGGGGGCAGCCTGGGCCGTGGGCAGTGAGATGGAGACTGTGGCAGTCTGGGGAGGAAGGGGTCCTCGTGTTCCCTGGGCGCGGAAACCGCCAGAGGTGACGTTTCCCGGTTCCGGTTTCTCCCAGAAGGGTCGGATGTGGGGGTGAGCCAGGGGCGTTGTTAAGTTTCACCGAACACGTGAGAAGCCGCACCTTCCCCTTGGAAGCCTGGGGCCCCGGGTGGAGGCCCGTGAATGGGGCCGACCCTGAGGGCAACTGCTGGCGGCCAGGGTCACAGGGGGCAAAGGCCAAGTCTGGGGTCTCCCCTTCCTCAGACCGAGGGCTCCCAGGAGAGCTGCCAGCACGTGGCCTGAGGGCGCCAGCCAGACCCGCCCTGGGGACGCGCCCCCGACCACGGGGCAGGCCTGTGTCCACGGGCCCCGGTGGCCGCCCCCCCCCGGTCCGGCCCCAGCCCCTCATCACCCTCCTCCTCACACAGAAGCCCCCATTTTTAAGCACTGCCGCCAAAACACAGCGGAGGGACCACCCCCACCGCCCGCCCCGCAGGCCCCGGAGGTGCCCTGGGCCGCTACCTTCCAGAAGAGGATGCTGCAGTGCCGGCAGAAGTGCAGGGTGTCGCCGTACTGCTCCCGCGCTGGGTAGCACTTGCGCAGCGCGAAGTACATCAGCTTCCACTCCACGCGGCCTTGCTCGGAGAGGACCAGGTGCCTGCAACACTGGGCGCACCCAGGGCCGCCCCGCGTCAGCTCCCGCGTCAGCACGCGGCTCCCGCGGCTCCGCGCCAGCAGGGGGGCTGCTTGCCAAGGCAGCGGGGGCACGACGCTCGGACCTGCTGGGACTGAACTTGCTGAGACTGGCTCGCGAAGGGACTGGCCGGAGAAAGCGCGTGTCTGTGCACCGGGGAATGCCGCGTGGCCATGAACAGAGTCGAACAGTCAGGCCCGGGAGGAAGCCCGGGAGACGTTACCAAGTCAAAGCCACGCTGTTATGAAGTTAACAGCCACCATGCTGCACACGGAAACTGACGCGACGTGGTACGCCAGCTGCCACTGAGAACCACGTTTAAAAAGTGGCACCTTGCGCACCTCAGCCCTCTGACGAGGGGCTTGTGCGCAGGACACGCAGGGAAGACAGCGCAGTGACGAAAGCACAGCCCAGTGGAAAAGTGGGCGGAGAGCCTGAAAGACACTTCTGCAGAAATCCACAAACGGCCAGAGGTGCTCAGCATCCCCGTCCCCGGGGAACCGGGACGAGACGCCACCTCACACGCACGACACCAGGACAGCGTGACCGTCGCCAGGCGCCGGCAGGTGACGAGGGGGAGGCAGAGCGACCCTCGCACACACTGGCGGGACGGTGGGCGGTCTGGCAGCTCCTCAGGAGCACGGGCACCGGCTGGCCCAGAGCGCCCGCTCCCAGGCCTGCAGCCGGAGGCGTGCCGCGAACGCCCACACGACCAGCGGGGCGAGGGAGGACGGCGCGCCGGCACGAGCAGCAGCCTGAGTGGCCCTGGGGGCGTCACGTGGCAGGACAGCAGCCGCGGCTGCGGAAAACGTCTGGGACGGAGGTGGACGGGGGAGGGGGAGCCTTAGCCGCGAGCCCACGGGTGGGGGTGCTCTCCGAAATCGGCTGGGAGCCGCGGCCGCGCAGGCGATGGCGCCTCGGCAAGGGTGCAAGCTGGCACGCAGGCAGCCAGGTGAGCGCCGGGCCTGTGCGAGCGCCTGGACCGCACGCGTGAACGGAAGGACCCACGGGGGCCCCGCCAGGGCTGGGGGGGCTCTACCCTTCCTCAGCACCTCTTGGACCCCGGGGTCGGCACAGGCCTCCAGGGAGTGGGGAGGGCCTGGCCTGTGGTCCCCGAGGTGCGACCCGCACACTGGAGCCCCGCCCTCCCAGTGCCCCCGTGGGGGTGTCTCCAGCCCCAGGCCCCCGGTGGGGGCGGCGTGGCCTCCCAGGCCTGGTGGCTGCACTGGCCCCGCCACGTCCCCGAGCTCACCACGCCCCCCTGCACACGGACTCTGAGTCCAGACTCCGCCCATCCCAGTGTGTCACCCACGGGACCCGGGGCTGCTGGGGGACCCTCCGCCGTCCCACCCGCCCGAGGGGACGGCGCTCACAGGTCTCCACCGCCTCGCAGCGCGCAGCCGAACCCGTCTCTGAGGATGCGGCCGTGCGCCCCCCATCCTCACCGCCCCGACACGGGGGTCAGAGGGCGGCGTGGGCTCTGGCCCCGGGGGGCGGCTCCACTGGCAGGACGGCAGGTAGGGGGTGGGGGCAGCATGCCGCCCGCCCGTCCCCGACACCACGGCTGCCGGAGGCGACAGACCCCGGGGCAGAAAGCTCACTCCGGTCCCGCCCTGTCACACGGGGTGTCCCCGAGTCGCGGTTCTTTCTAAGGACGGACAGCTCAGGGAACAAGCCACCGAAGGGAAACCGCGGCGCTTCCCGGAGAGTCTGGCCGCTCCTGGCGCTGCGGGCTGCACCTGCGGCCACGGGCTCACCTGCGGCCACGGGCTCACCTGCGGCCACGGGCTGCACCTGCGGCCACGGGCTCACCTGCGGCCACGGGCTCATCTGCGGCCACGGGCTGCACCTGCGGCCGAGGGCTCATCTGCGGCCACGGGCTCACCTGCGGCCACGGGCTGCACCTGCGGCCGAGGGCTCATCTGCGGCCACGGGCTCATCTGCGGCCACGGGCTGCACCTGCAGCCGCAGGCAAGGCCACCGTGCTCACCTGCGTCTCGGCGAAGTGGTACTGGCAGAGCTTCCTCCACAGCCGCCCGTCCTCGCTGAGCGCGGACAGGGCCGGCGTCACCTGGCCCAGGGTGACGATGTCCCAGCCATCCGAGAGCCGGTACAGGATGTCGTTCAGCGTGTGCAGCGGCAGGTCGCTGAGCGTGAGCCCATGGTTCACCTGCAGGCGGGGGTAGGGCACACGGGCGGTCAGCCACGCAAGGCCGCGGTCCCACCCAAACACAGCTGCCGCGGCCCCACCCGGCGCCTGCGGCCCCGGAGGCGTGGTCATGCCGGGACGGCGGGAGGCGGAGGTGCCCGAGTGGACGAGCTGCTTTGTGGTGACAGTTCCTCCGTGACCGCCCGCCCACACAGGTGAGACGCGTTCACCAGGTGGCCACACTGGAACCGGCCCCAGCTGCGCAGGACACTCTGCAGGCCCCGGGGGCGGCGGTCGGGCCCGGTGCTGTGCTCCGGTGCCCTGCAGTCTCCACCGGGGCCGGCCCGAGCCCCAGACGCAGCTCACCTGTCCCCGAGGTGCCTTCGAGCTCGAACTGCCGGGATTTCGAGGCTCCAAGCAGAAAGCGCCCCCTCCCTCGTGCGAGGGGGTGAGGGGCAAAGGCGTGCGCCCCTCCGGGAGGCCGGCGCGGCTCGTCTGAGGGCCACGCCCGAGGGCCGTGCGCGCTGGGGACGCCGCACCTGGGCTCACACCCGCCGCTCACCGTCCCCAGGAGCAGGCGTCCCTGCGGCCCCACCCGGCTCTGGCCCCGCCCCCAATGGGACCTGCTGCCTGCCGCCCGCCCGGCCCAGGTGCGCTGCCCCCAGCCGGACAGAGCCGCAGCCCCGAGGACGGGTGGGTCCTGTCGGCGTCTCACCTCGAGACTCTCTGGCCCTCGGGTCTCTGGGTGGGGGGCACCTAGGAAGGAGCGGGGTCCTCGTGCGGTCCCCGTAGAGCGGAGGGCGGGGGCCGCAAGGGGCGGACAGCTGTGCAGAACCACGCGCCTGCGCTCACTGGTGCCCGACTCGCCTAACGTCCTCCAAAGGCGCATGCGTTCACGGCCTGGTCACCCGGGGCCAGCTCTCTCCCGGAACCACCGCACTGAAGGGTCTTTGGTCTGAACACACCTCGAATCGGGCGGCAGAGGCCCGACGGCCCCGTGCAGGGTCGCACCTGCGTCACCTGAAGGTCCTGCAGCTGCCGCTGCCAGGCGAGGACCGTCTCCAGCCGGCAGGCCCAGACGCCGATGCTGCCGACCAGCACGGACTTGCCGACGCCCCTGAGCAGGGTGCCCAGGGCGGAGCTCAGGTCCTGCAGCAGGTCTCTGATGAGGCGGGGGTTCTGCTGGTCCTCGAGCACTGGAGGGAGCAGAGCAGAGCACCGCTGTGGGTGGGCGCCGTCCCCAGCTGGTCAGCGCACACAGAGCGTGTCACACGCACGCGGCGGAGTCTCCCTCAGCCTGAGGAGGGGAGAAAACCCGGCCACGTGGTGGGGTGGAGGGGCTCTGGAGACCCAGTGCTCAGCGAAGCCGCCAGGCACGGGGCAGGCACGGGGTGACCCCCACTGTGCGAGGGCCCCGCGGTCGCCGGGTCCACGGAGACAGCAGCAGGCGGTGGGCCCAGGGCTGCGGCCGGGCCGGGCGAGGGTCAGGGGCAGGGGCAGGCTGGGAGAACGGGAAGTTCAAGGGAAGGATGGTGGCGGTCACGTGACAGCGTGAAGGTGCTGAATCCCACTGAACCATAAGCTTAAAACTGGGTAAAACTGTTACGTTCACGTCATGTACACTCGACCACAACAGAGACGACGGTCTGACTCGCTGCGACCCAGACTGGCACGCTCCAGGTGCCACGGATCCGCCGAGACTGAAGCCGGAAAGTGTGTCCTGACTGGGCGCCTGGGGCCAAGTCTTCACCCCGGGCGCAACCCTGTCGGGCCTGTTTCCTTCGTCGGAAAGAGAGCTGGTGTGTCCCAGTGGCTGTGCACACTCACACACCCGCGTGCGTGCACACACCCGCGCTGGGGAATCTACATTGGGAATCTACAGTTCCACTTGCTAGCCACGGAGGGACCACTGCCAACAGTGAGCTGGAGAGAAAACTGTAGGGTTATCTGAGGCCGAGGCACGTGCACCCCACCCTGCTGATTGGGGACCACGTGCCGCGACCAAGGGGCCTGTGCCCGGCTCACCCGCCTTTCCCTTTCCGGTGGCGCTCACACAGCGGCACACCTCTGCCCGCGACACAGCACACCCCTCCTCGTGTCTCGACGGGCACCCCTGCACCCCGGCCAGCCGCCATCCCCCCTCCCCCGAGCACCGAGGCCTGGAGGGAGTCCGTGCGGCGCGGACGGGCGGCCCCGGCAGCCGGCCCCTTGCCCCGCCTCAGTGAGGTTCGGACGATGAGAAACGTCAGTCGCCCTCTTACCCTTCTGGACGATTTTATCCAAAACGCTGAAGTAGTTCTTCTGCGCCACGCCACTCAGCGACGTCAGCTGGGATTTCGCGATGAGCTGCAGGAGCTCGAGAGAGAGAGGGGAAAGCTGCGCATGAGCCTCCCTCACGGGAACCGACCCTAGTGACCTGCGACCCGCGGCAGGTGACCCGCGGCAGGTGAGCGCCCGTGCCTCCCTCTTCTCCTCCGTGAGAGAGGCCCCGTCGCCCCGCCTGGTGCGTCTGCCGCAGCCCACCGCCCGGTGGCTGGCAGCCAGGGGGGTGGCCCTGTGTGTCCAGGTGGTGGCCTGCAGCTCTCAGACTGAGACTCAGGCTCCCGGCCTGACCTCTGACCTGTCCCAGGGCCCCGCTTCCCTCGAGGACCCTCCCTCCGTCTGTGCTTCGCCTGACCGTCAGCGGGGACTCAGCGCCAACAGGAGCGCAGACGTGGGCTGAGGAGCCCCCTTTCACACGGGGAGCAGGAGGCAGACGTCCTCTGAGAAGGCGCCGGGAACACGGCGGGCTCTGTGAGTTCTGTTTTGTGCAGATCTTCCGTGTTCCAGGAGCCCGCCCGCCCGTGCGGCGGGCTCTGCTCTGCGCCCGTGAGGCAGGACAGGCCGGCGACACCCAGGCAACCCCCTGGGGAGATGTCCGCGACCCGCCGCCTCCTGCACCTGGGGTGCGCCCACCGGCCCCCCGCCCCGAGCCCGCGGAGGCCCACCCCGAGTGGCACCGAGTCCGTTTTCTCCCGAACCCACTCCCGGCGGCCCCTCTGCACACGGCAAACGAGCACAGTGTCACGCAGGAGCCGAAAGCGCCAGACACTCACTCGGACCACGTAGCTGAACCGGCGGACGTCCTGCACGGCGCTGCAGAAGTCCAGGCGGGTGAAGGCCTCCCCCAGCGTGCAGTAGCCGTGCCGCTGCAAGACACATGCCTGTCAGCACTTGCCCCGGGCACGGGGCTGCACCTGCACATCGTGGCCGCGGCAAATTCTGGCGAAGCACGTTCGTGGGCGCTGTGGCTCTGTCCCTGCTTAGCGAGAGCAGCGGGAACCGCGAGTCGTCCCGGCACCGAGACAGGACGGGCCGCGCCCCGGATGCCGAGGGCGTGCTCACTGAGCAGCTCCGGTTCCTCTGCTGGGCACACGTGGCCGAGGGCAGTTGAAGCCTGAAACCATGATGGAGAAGGACCCCCCCCCGCCCGAGGCTGCACACTGCAGACACGCAGTCTGGCGCTCTCCCCAAGGAGAGTGTTCTCGGTCAGCACGCGTGTGGAGGGCGTGACTCCTCTGGGGGCGTGGGGAGGTCACTAGGCCTGCAGGCCCGGGGCCTGCCCAGCACCCCACCCCAGGACGCGGGAAGTGAGACCCATGGGCACCGAGGAAGCCTGAGTCACTCTTCTTAAGGAAAAGGACCCTGTGCCCTGGCCGCTGGCTCGGCCAGCTGGGGCATTGTCTCACGCGACAGAAGGCTACGGGCTTGATCCCCGGCCGGGGGGGGGGCGCACACAGGAGCCACTGACCCACGTGTCCCTCCCTCCGCCCCCCCCCCCCCGGCCCCCGCGCGCTCGCTCTCAGATCAGTGGGCCCGTCCCTAGGCGAGGACCGAGAGTGGGAGGGAGGAGAACACAGCTCTCCTGCTTCAGATGGCCGCGCTAACGAGGACCCTACGTTCCAGGCGGCTGCACAGGCTGGTCTGTGCGCTGGGCTCAGGCAGCACTGCAAACTCGACCTTCCGTACGCGGAACTCAAGAACACGGAGACGAGCAATGAGGGGTCTCGGGGACGGACCTCGTCGGGAGGGACCACGGAGGACCGCAGGTGAGGCGGGGACAGCAGGGACAGCGGGCACCGGGGAGGGGGCCGCGCCTCGTTCCACGTCCCGAGGCCAGTCCCGATGTGCGCGCACACACACCAACAACACGCATGCACTTCCCCGGGGCTGGGGGGCAAAGGTCGACCAGACAGAGAATCTGAAATCGACCCCAGCCGACGTCGCTGCTGTGGGGTCCTCTCGACGAGCGGAACTCTACGTGCCGGTGGGGCGACGCCTTCCCGGGCAGCCGCCCGCCTCACAGCAGCCCCCTCCCTTTGGGGGGGTCAAGTGTGACTCACAGGGGGAACGGAAATAGCTCGTTGCAACGGCACGGCACGCCCACCTGCTGGGGGCCTGGCGCCACACCAGAAGGGCACTCAGAGGCTGTGGGCGCTGCCGTCAGCCACGGGGACAGGCCGCAGAGGCACCTGGTCTTCCCCGCTGAGAGGACAGGCAGCCTGATGCTGCAGAGTGACAAGTGCCGCTCTCGGGTCCGAGTCCTGCTCGCTCCCTGGCCCTGGTCTCACCCTGCCCCTCCGCCCACAGCAGACCCCAGGCTAACGGGCATTCTGCTCAGCTCCGGTGCAGGCCTGCGCTGCACCTCCTTTCTGTGATCAGCGTGGCACCACAGAGCGACCAAAGGGTTGAAAAGTCTTAAATAGGCTTAAACTACAGCAGGTTCTGCCAACATTCTTCTGAGGGTGCTTTCGACCGTGCGAAGGGTTGGAGCCATGTCACACGCACGTGACAGCGTCGGCCGTCACTGCACGGGGTGAGGGAGTTCTCTCAGAACCTGGCCCGTGAGCGTCTGGGACGCCAGGCGGGGTGCGTCCCTCAGCAGCACACCCAGAACACGCAAGGTGCACCGCCAGGACTCAGCCACAGCTCCCCAGACGGTTTCCCCGGCTGCCACAGAATGAGGCAAATGCTGTTTCTCCGGCTGCAGAAGCAAGGGCGCGTCCCTGGACACCAGGCAGAGACACAGGAGGCCTAGGGAGCTGCGGCGGACACACTGCTCTGGGGCGCTCAGAGGTGGGCACAGGTGGGCACAGGTGCTGCCCGCTGGCACGTTAGCCCCTCGGTGTGTTAGACGAGGGAGTAACACAGATACCCGCCCCCACAGGAGGCCTGCGGCACCAGGGGCTCTGGCAGCTGATGGGGGTGGGGCAGAGGCCACGGCACATGTCCAGGGCCACATGCGTGTTGTCGTCTCAGGCCTGTCCTGGGGGCACGACCACACACGTGTGCACATGGTCACACACTGTGCACATGGATGCGCACACACGCACACACACTCGCACACAGAGTGACCGTTCCCAAGACCCTGGTGCCGCCCTCTGTGGGAGCGTGAACCGCAGACGTGACGCTGCGGAAGAAACGAGGGATTTAACGTGGCGTCACGCAGTCGGCAGAGACTACACGGAGGGGCGCTTCCTTGTGGCGGACACTTACTTCTCTCGTGCTGTCTTTATGGACATAGATCCATTTCTCACGGTAAAAACCTGGAATGAAAATGAACTTTGTGTTTAAGATCTGGGGAATCATTTCAAAATGAAGTTTCCGGGAACTTGAAACAGCTGCACATGTTAGGGAAAGTGTCTGCTGTGTGGATGGGAGATGCTGCTACTTGGTTTAAACGGAGACAGAACCGCTCTGCTCCCCAGTGTCAGCCTCGGGGCGTCTGAAGTGCGTCTGTGCTGGAGGAGGACTCGAGACGGCACCAGCTCTTAGTGACTTAGAAGACAACTGCTGTTACTGATGCCTGCACTGATATCACAACACGTCACTGTAGAGATGCAGTTATTTCTACATCATGTAGCTTATAAGGAGTTCCGTTCTTCTGGCATTGCCTTCACGCTGGATTCCACTTAAACCAATTGTTTCCGTGGGATTCAAGGACCACGATGACGGTTCCCCACGGGACCCCACCTTCCTCCCCGGACTGCAGACAGGAGAGCCATCCCCCGCCTCTCGGTGGGGCCCCGGGGCAGGGCGAGGCCTCACACGGGGAGGAGGGGGACCTGCCTCCCGCCCAGCACTCCCACCCAGGGCCTCGCCCGCCTCCCACCGAGTCTGTGTCCTTCTCCCAAGGGCAGCATCCCCTGTACAAAAGTCCAAAGTCAGGACGCCTCAGCCTCGGCCTCCCGGCGTGGGAGGGAAATGCCCGTGACCCCATTCAGGCATCCCGACACGCGGGCTCTTCTGTGGGCTGGCTGTCTTTTGTGTGTGCAAACCTTACTGAGACAGCGGCGGGGCCTCGGAAAGTGTGTCCCTGGGTCTGGGACAGCACTGGGCGAGGCCGGCCATCACACACCTGTGCTGTCCTTCCTGCGCCCGCCCCCCAGCGCCAGGCAGGCCACCGTGTGCGAGTGAACGGCATGAGATCATTAGCGAACGTGAGCTTACACTGAGGGCTGCTGTCCTTCCCAAAGCGGCCCTTCTTCCTCTTCTTGGATGCACTTCCGTGCTCTTCATCAGTGAGTGTCTCCTCGTCTTCACTGTTTAAGATTCTGAAATAAAGACACAGGCTATCTACATGTCTTTACAGGGAGATCTTCGTTTGCCTTTTCTTTTTAAAAGCGGTCATAAATATTTGGTTGCAATTTAGAAGATCGAAATGAAAATCATGTTAAATTCTGAAAGTTAGCAGTGGTTTTTCAAAGCAACACTTTGCAGTTTGACGCTACACAGCTAATGCCTAATACATTTTTTGTTTGTTTTGAGAAACCTCAGATTTATTCTGGTTCTTCTGAGAATGTTTTGCTGGAAAGGGCTGAACATGTTTTAGAGTGTCCCAAGGGTCTGATATGTTCAACCAAGGCAGTTTCAGACTTCAAAACACTCTGTTAAAACAGGAGACCGCATTAAACTATAAACTCCTTGGAAAAAAATTAACGTGACGTGCCACATCCCTGGCACAGGCTGTGTGAGCGTCAGCCTGAAACGCCGCGACAGGTCAGATGGAAAACAGCAGAGGTTTCCACCCGAAAGCAAGAGTACACATGTTCTTCTCCAACGCACGTGGAACATTGTCCGGGACAGACCATACATCAGGCCATGAAACAAGTCTTTAAAAAATTAAGTTTGAGCCCCGGCCGGTGTGGCTCAGTTGGTTGGGTGCTGTTGGAGCCTTTGGTCTGTGAGTTCGATTCCCGGTCGGGCACATGCCCGGGTTGCGGGCTCAGCCCCCATCAGGGTCTGTGCAAAGGGCAGCCTGTTGTTGTTTCAGTCTCACAGCGACGTCTCTCTCCGTCTCTTTCTCCCTCCCTTTCCTCTCTCTGAAACTAACAAACAAACAACAAACAACATCTTGTCCTGGACCCTGAATCGGAGACAAATTCAGTCTCTCCTCGTGTCTCCTTGCAGAGAGACTTCACAATAAAAGCCTTTTCTCTTCTCCAAAGCTGGTGCCATAGCGTGGGCTTCCGGGAGTGCTCGGCAGCGGGACCTTGCCCGGTGACAAACGCTGCACCTGAGGGTGGGCACCAGGCTCCCCACCAGCCCAGACTCCAGCTACGTAACCTCGCTCCTCACAGCTGCCTGTGTGGGCAGAACCGCAGCCGGAACCTGGGCCACAGGGCCGGGCAGCGGCGTGAGAAACAGGTGAAATTGCACATGCCAGGCGGGCCCCTCCGCGAGCGGGTCCGGCTCTGCCCGCTGAGACTCACCTGCTGTGGCTGAGGCCCTGCGGGTCTGTCTCCTGCGCAAGCTCCGCCCTCCAGGACTCACACCTTTTCCAGCCGTCCTCGGTTTTCATCCAGGTCCACCCCGGGGACCTCCAGTCCTGACCCAAAAACGGCATGGTTCTCCTGTAAAAACCGTTGGTCTGTGTTAAGAAATCTGTGGAATCGGCAAGTTCCTTTTCACTTGGAACACTTACTCATTCATGCTTAAAACGTGAGTTCTCAGTGAACATCTAAAAGTCTGCACGGGCCCCGGCCTATTACTCTCACGCCCACGGCAGACTTGGTGCATCTCCCTGGTGGGGGATTTACAGAGTAGGAGGCACGTGGAAGTGTTCAGACGCCGTCTCCGAACTGGACTTAGCTCGGCCGACGAAGGCTGCCGCACTGGGTGCACACGGGCCCAGAGGAGGCGAGCGTCTTCAGGAGGGGGTCTCCGTCTTCGGCAGCTCCTGGCCCCACTGCGGGCTCCCCGGGCCCTGAGCCCGCAGGCGACACGAATGCTGAAGAGATTTCCCCTTGTGCCAAGAGGATCTCAAAACCGCGCTAATTTGTAACCACATATTCGTGTTTTCAGTCACACGTTAAATTCTTGCTTTAGAAGGTGCTTAAAAGTCATTCCTTAAATCTTTTTAAAAATATATTTTATTGATTATGCTACGACAGTTGTCCCATCTTCCCCCCTTTAGTCTCCTCCGCCCAGCAGCCCCCTCCCACCATCATTCCCCCTTAGTTCCTGCCCATGGGTCGTACATGTAAGTTCTACGGCTTCCCATTCCCCATACGGTTCCTGACCCCAAGTCCTGTGATGTAGGAGGTGATAACTGAGTGGCAATTTAGTCTCAGAGAAAACATACAAAGGAAAATGTCTGTTAGGACAATCTTTGACTGGTGTCCAAAGTATCTCTCAGTAGCACTCTGTGGATTCAGAATTCTGTGATTTAAAAAAAAAAATCAAATGGCAACCGTGCAGAATATTGCTACACAGACCAAACACAGGATCATGTATTTCAATGACAAATGTGTAAGCATAGACCAAACGCATAATTAGCATGCTCTGTGCACCTCCCGGAGGGTGCACCATCCAGCTGAGAAACTGAAAACACAGCAGCCAAACAAATGAGACAACCCACACATCATGTAATGACATATGCAAATGTATTTAAAACACAGGAAAACGTGTACATCAGTGCGATTCTGAAATGTGAGTACTGAGTGAGTGGTAGAGAAACTCAGAGGAAAAAAACCGATCGCGTGGGAAATCCATGAAGGGAAGAGTACAGGAGCCCGGCCCTGGAGCATGTGAGACCGTAGGTGATGGTCAGGTGAGGACAAAACACCGACCACAGAGGTGGCGGGTGAAAAACTTGGGGGGGGGGGGGTGCGCATGCCTCGTGTGAGGACACAGCAATAAGCAGACCAGGTGGGCTGAGACAGAGGAATCCACAGGAAGGCTCACAGGCAGAAGTCAAGAAAGCTGACTAGAGCCAGATCACAAGAATGTTGAATATCAAAGGGATCTGGACTTTGGTTCCTAAATAATTAAGTTATTGAGCTTTGTAGCAACGTACACAGTTGCTATTTGGAGAACACTTTGCCGGGGCCTGTGGGACAGATGAGATGGGGGGACAGAGGCAGAACAAATAATCAGGCAAAAGAAACGTGGTGTCACCACAGCTAACGACACACTCAGACACTGTGTGACACACCAACACTGTGTAACAACACACCAGCACGCTGCATGACACACGGACATTGCACCCAGCTGTGCACGCACTGTGTCCTCTCACCACATCACACGCGGACATACAGGCCTCACAAGCAAACCCATTTACACAGTTTCCACTACGAAGAGTCAGCTTGGTGTTGCCAGACAATCAATTCTTTTACAACCACTAAAACTCTACAGATGCTGCATTTTGACTCTGAAACTCCTCAGAAAGGAGTATGTTTGGCCTGAATTTTTCAGCTGCTAAGTGTCTATTTCCATGGACTGGAAAGAGCCAAATGCAGCTAAATGGACCGTGAAAATTAAAACAGTATATTTCCAAGGTTTTTATTTTCAACAGAGGAAAAAAAATTATATATATATTTTAGATTTATATTTATTTTTAGAGAGGAAAAGGGAGGGAGAAAGAGAGGGAGAGAAACATCAATGTGTGCTTGCCTCTCACATGCCCCCAACAGGGGACCTGGCCTGCAACCGAGGCCTGTGCCCTGACTGGGAATCGAACCGGAGATCCTTCGGTTCTCAGGCCAGCACTCCATCCACCAAGCCACACCGGCCAGGGCTCAACAGAGGAAAGTACTTGTTTCACTATAGACGTGTGTATTCCATAGATTTGTCATGTTATGCTGTTTGGATTACAATAAAGTTTTACTTTAAAGTATAATCTCATACAGATCATGAACTAAAAATAAAAAGCACAGCCTCCATAAGCAGTTATTATAAACAATAACAAAACAGCCAATGGGGTGGGTGAGGGGGATGAAGTTGCAATTTGAAAGGCCTGGCTCTCAAATTTTCAAAAATATTCCCAATCTGAGGCACCTGATTTAACAAATCAGTAAACCACACGGAACTTTTAGAATGATGCCGGCCCATCACTTTTTGAGAATTTATGCATCTGTACTGCCAAAGACCTGAATTCCTAGGGTTTTATACAGTCCATTACAATTGCCTTCATTTTCAGAATTTCAAAGTGAAAAACAAAAACTAGAAATCACTCTTGAAAACAGTGTGTAAGAGCAACTGCTCAAAGGGTGGCTACTCAGTCGTGAAGCAGCTGGTTAGATCTACGATTTCACACACAGTTTCGTCGACTGGTGTGAGAGCCCGGGGGGCCGAACTGGAGGAAATCTCCTCTTCCCGTGTTTCGGTGCCAGAACAGAGGGGGCCCTGCAGGACTGGACCCTGCGCCGTTCCGTGCTGGGGGAGATCCCCGCCTCGTGAGTCAAACTAAAGAGAAATGTCTCCCGTTCACAAGCACACTTTCTGGCCTTTACATCTCAGTTGTGGGCCAGGCATCACTCTGAACAACATCCCTGTATGAGCTCCTTTAGGCCTCACTGCAAGGCAAGGAATGTTCTCAGCCCCGATTTGCAGGGTTGATTCTCCACTTATAGAAGAAACGAGGCAGAGAGTCTGGTGGAGCTGGCACTCCAAGGTCAATGCCCTGTCGCTGTGTCTTTGTAACAGCAACTCCTGAGCACCCTGTGAAACAGGTGTCATAAAATCGCAGAGGTTCTTTTTTACATTATTAACCTTACATTGCATATATCAACAGGAATGCTCTACAGTAATGACTGATTTAAATGTAAAAACACTAAGACAAGAAAAACCTGGGAAGAAGAAGCATAACTAATACATTTTAAAAGGCTATATGTATTCTGCTATTTGTGTTGAAGCTGGATAGAAAGGGAATGGAGTAGCCAGTTTACAGCAGTTATCAAACAGTAAGAACTGTAACTTCTGACCAAGAGCTGGTGCTATAAATACACTATAAAGAAATAAGAACAAAAGGTTACAACGGCAGTAACAGTAAGGCACTTCCAGAGAAAAAAACTGGCAAAGGAGTTTTCCCCCTCCGTTTGTTATTTTTCATCATACATGTTGAGAAAATCCTTTTCATTGTTCTGAGAATGACTGGCCCTCAACTGGATAAGCGTTTGACCTCTGTTACCGCTTTGTTTTCCTTACGATGATCGCCAAGTAACTTGGAGTCAAACGTGACTAGGATTATAGGAGAGGAAGACTTTGGTCCGGAAAGAACACCAAGAACTGCTGAACAGAGGGCTGATGATCAAAGCGGGGTTCACCGCAAGGAGCCCTGAGATCACCCCCGACGCTTCAAGGAAACCAGAGCACAGAGAGGAGGATAGGATGGAACGTGAAGGAATGAAAGGAAACGTGCGTTTTCTGACTAGGGCGGAATGGGACGGTTTGGAGGAAAAGCGGGCTTCACCGGGAGGAAACGACGCTCCAGAAGCCTGAGTTTGCACAACGAGCTGCACAGGGCCGGGGAGGACGGGTCCACACCGAGCTCACTGTGCGGGGGACGCACAGCGCAGAAACACATCACCTGCAGGACGACACGGAGGGGACAGAGGGAGCCGGGCCCCAGATGGCCCCAAGCGAACCCAGGGCCAAGGGTCCCTGGACGGGGCCACCCAGCAGGGACACTCGGCACAGGACACCCCCTGCAGCGAGGGCGGGAGGTGGGGGCGGGTCGAGCACGCGCAAGGGTCCCCATCGGGCGCACCCAGGTTCCGGTCCCCCAAAGAAGCGCGCACCTGGGTTGTCGTGCCCCGTCCCTACCTGCGCGCCAAACGTCCCAGTCCCCGCCTGCAGCGTGGACCACCTCAGTGTCCCGTCCCCACCCGAACTGAGTGGGCGTCCGGGTTTATTGCCGGAAGTCGCTGCAGAAAGCTCCGCCCCGGAGGCATTGATTGGCTGGTGCGGCCTGTGTGACCCCGTGATACCCCAGACCCGAGACCAGCGGGCGGGCATGCGTAGTGGGCCCTCGCCTCTTCCCCGCCCTTCGAGCGAACAAGTCCGCGCGGGTGGGGTGCTGTGGCTGCCCTTCCTGTTCCCGGTGCGTGTTCACAGTCCAGGGCACCGAGATCCCGGTGGCCCTCGGCCTGCAGCCGGATGCAGATCCACAGAGCCGAACCCGCTCGCACTTCCAGCCGCAGCCCTGAAACCCAGAAACCGCCGGAATTTCGGAGGTGGCGCTGAGGTTTGCTCTCAGCCCTCCCGTGCACCCGATTATCTTTTAGACGTACGTTTCAGGCCCAAGTGCTATTCAGAATATTGTTCAGCTCTTTCTAGAGGGTGGCAAATGTTCTCGAGAGGGGCCTCAACCTGAGGGTATTTCCCCAAGTAGGAGAAAAGCCCGTGGGGGCGGTGGGGGCCGGTCCCTGACTCCCGTTGCAGGAGGAGGGGCAGGTTGGTGGTCGGAGTCTGCGCTGCAGACCAACTGCGGGGCCGGATCCAGGAATGGCTGCTTTGTCTCTTTTTTCTCGGAGAGGACGTGGGGATGGCAGTAGAGAGGCAGGAGACAGCATGGGAAGAACTCTAGGACTGAGCCTACTGTTCTGGTCACCAGTCTAGCATCCTGGTTGCCAGCAAACGCCTCTTCACTTTTAGGGAGAATGGATAGCAAACCAAGGTAGGGAGGAGGAGGGAGGCATGTCTCACCTGCTAACTCAGCAGCCCTGAGCCTGGTCCTGTAATGCTGCCAGGTGTTCTAGCAACACAAGTTATACCACCTTAGCAAGAAAGGAGGGAAGTCCTTGAAATTCCATGTACCATTTCCACTGTCTGGGAAAGAAAGCCTTGAAACTGTGCTTTCATCCCAAGGCCTGAAAGTTAGGAGAGGGTCCACAGTGCCAAAGGAAAAAGCCCATAAATGAATTTGGGCATGGCACCAACTTTAATTGACTGCCTCCTGTCATGTATCTGTTTCATGACAAGATGAACAAATGGGTTCTGGAGCAAAATAAGGATTTGGGCTAATAGGCCCCCACACATACCCAAGTTTGGGTAGTCATGACCCCACACCCTGAAAGCTGGCACCACATCAACTTATCAATCAATATGTTACTTTTTTATTCCCATCCCACCTACTAGGTAAATCCTTGGAACAAAGGACTCTCTGTCTTGGCTCTCATGCCACCTGGGGGCTTGCCTGCCTGCCCTGACCCCTCCTCACCCCCCCACCCCCGCCCAGCCTTTCTCTGCTCGGCTGTGCCCTGAACTTCCTTCTGCCTTTCACCCCACCCCACCTGAGCTAGGCCCGTTGTCTTCCGTGGGAACAGATCACTAATAAAACTGATTGCACGCTAATAGATTTGCTGACCTGTAATTCTCTACATGCGTCAGTAGGAAGAACCAGGTCTCTCCCGCCAGCAGTGGTCCATACCGCACAGGGTTTCTCCCAAGACTAAGTGAGGTGATGTACTATTGCAATAGTAGCAGCTATATGCTTTAACCTCTTCCATGCTTTTAAGTCAGAAGTGGTCATGGACTGAAGCCAGCAGTTCCCCTGTGCTGGAACTGGAGCCCGACCGGGGGCATCATCTGGGTGCCTGGGTGTGCAGCTCCCCACAAGCAGCGGAGCCCCTGAGCTCCAGTCTTGCGCCTGAAAGTGAAGGTGAAGGTGTGTGCTGGAAAGGCTGTTGGAATGTTAAACGTGTAAATATGTCTTTCCATCTGTTCAGCAAACATTCTCCCTCAATCTTTCCTGCATGTTTTAGGTGGAGCGCTCATCTACATGTAAGAAGTTAGGCTACCAGTAATCCTGCTTATAGACATGTTTACCTTGATACAAACAACCCACCCTGGCCAGGAAGCTCAGTTGGTTAGAGCATCATCCTGATACACCAAGGGTGCAGGTTTGATCCCCAGTCAGGCACATACAGGAATCAACCAATGATGCCTCAGTAGGTGGGGCAACAAATTGATGTCTCTGTCTGTCTCTCTTCCCCCTCCCTCACCTTTTCACTCTCTTTAAAATTCACAAATGAAAAATGTCTGAAACTACATTCAACCCAGCACATTCCACTCAGGTATTTATCAGAGAAAAACCACGTCCACACAAAGCACACACAGGGTCTGGCAGAAGTGAGGCCTGCTTGAGTGTGGCTGGTGCAGAAGACAGCAAACCCATAAATACATGAAACAGAAAACTCTGTATATGATGGCGTCTCACCAGTGCCCCGAAGGAGTGGTAGACCTGTGGTCAGGGCGATGGGAGGGGAAGAGGGAAGCTGAACTCAGCATCAAGGCGCCTGTGAGCAGCTGCAGACAAGGGACGTGGGGGGCGGTGGGTGTGGGGGAAGCTGCCAGAACACTGCTCTCAGAAAGAAGAGGGGCCAGGGCGGGTGGTCGAGACGTCCCCATAGTGTTGTTTGCGCTGTTCTTTGCAAGGACACTGAGCAGGGGCCGCCAAGTAAACTGAAACCACCCAGGAGCCTGGGAGGTTACAGGAGAACAAAGGTCCCAAAAGGAGGTCATAGTCCAATCCCTCGCTGAAGACGGAGCAGAAGACGGAGACACATGCCGTAAGTATTTTATGGGAAGAACATTGGAGGTGTTAGCAAGAAGCATGTATGGGGAGATGCTTGGTTATCTAAGTCAGAGTGAGGGGAGAGTAAATGCCTTTCCAACTTTCATTTTGGTTGCAACCTAAGGTCAGAAATTACAGATAACAGTAAGTTTGTATGAGGTTTTTGTTTCAAAAGGGAAGAGACGTGGCAATTTAATAATGAGTAGAAAGGATGAGATGTGGCCGGTAAATGAGATTCGGCGTCCAGCTGATAACGGAGAGTTCCCAAGAAAGCAGGCGAGGGACACCACGAGGGAGGCTGGGCGTGTCCTGGAGTGGGAGGCCCTTCTGTTCAGGGGCAGTGGGAGGCTGTGAAGGCAGCGAGTGAGGGGTGTTCGGGAGCTAGCGCGTCTGTGCTGCAGGCAGCGACCCCATCTGTGCGTAGAAAGCCACAGGAGGGGGTGAGGGTGTGCGCTTTGCCAAACTCACGGGGAGGCCTTGCAGCTCACTGAGTGCAGCAGGGAGAGGAAGTCACTGGGTGTGTGGGCACTTAAACCAGGGGCCGTGTCCCAGTCCGGTGCTTTGTCCGACGCAGCCCCGGAATGGAGAGTAATCCAGAGTCGCTGGGATTGGCGTCTCCATGGGCAGAGGGGTTCAAGGGCCAGGTGGATGTGAGGATGGTGGGTCCCACTGAGCATCAACTGGCGAGAGTAAATGTGGGTTAAATGGACAGTAAAAGAGGAACGTGGGGTGCAGTGGACTCCAAATGTGCTGATGGACTATGGGTCCCCAGGTGGTAGGGGAACCTGGGCGTGGGGACCGATGCTGCGTGCCAGAGGAAGTGAAACTCCATTGAGTAGCTGTGCCGTTTTAGAGCCACGTGATTCTGCTCTGTAACCGAAGCCTTCTGAACCCGTTCTTTCTTGTTCAACAGGTAAGTGAACCCAGACCGCAGGGGCTGTCACGCGGACTGATAAAGCCTATTCGTGGTATTACATAACCTGCAAGCAGGGGGTCACATGCAATAAAAATGGGTTCTTTCCCTGGAATCCTGGCAGAAGGGAGCGAGTTGAACTGCTGTTGTTAAGACTAGCAGGACACGCACATACCACACGCCCCGGGCCCAGGGGGTGGGCAACTGCCTTCAGTCCCCACCGGGGATGACCACAACTTGGCTCTCGAGCCTTGGTCCCGTGGCCACTGGGCTCTGGCTCACTCTGGGGAGAGTGTGGGGCTGCTGCTGCCAGGTCAGGGGCAAGTTTCACTTGCTCAGCTGCCGGAAGAACAAATCAGGACAGCTCCGAGACCCAGCCTCGCACAGCACCCGCTGCTGCAGAGGGCCCATGGGTGCAGCGGAGCCTTCATCCTGGGAGACAGGCTGAGCTCAAGTGAGTCACCATCTTTGCTGATTTTGATCTTTTGTGGCTGAGCCCAAATAGCCAGGGATTGGGAATTAAGGTCGTGCAAAGTGTAACTTGAAATTCCTGAATACATGCAGATGTGGGAGAACAATTTCTGGTATTTTATAGACTTAGGAGGAAAATAGGATGGTATTTTTATGTAAAGTCTTGACCAAGTGTTCAAAAATACTGGTCTTATTATTGTTCCTATACCCGGCAACTGAGTGAAGCATTATAGCAGCTCCATGTTTGTGGTGTGTAGGTGGAAACAGACAGTGGTTATTTTTCCTAAGTAAAGAAAACTTCTCTCCCACCCGAGTAAATGCTTCTCCCAGGTTGCTGGCATTTGGGTGTAGGTGTCATGAAAAGGCATTTTTATAAAACTGAAATACAGTGAAGTCAAGTATATATAAAAGAATAGTCAAGGTTCCCTTTCAAACGCTCTTCCTTGTTCTCTACTATTTAGTGAGATGGGTCCCTTTGTTGGGCAAATCCAAGCCCAGTGCAAGGGGCGGGGCGGTGTGCCAGAGGCGGGAGCCCGGACTGGCCTGACGCCTGTGGAACTCAGCTGTGATTAGGTTTTCCCTCGTCTCTCGCGTTCCCAAAGCAGTTGGACAGAGCAGACGCCGGAGCCCGGAGGGCCCCTTCCCAGTGGAGGCTGCGTCGGAGTGGAGCTGGCCGTGCTGTGTCCACCGTCTGCGGCTGGGAGCCCTCCACTGTACTAGAGGTCAGCCAGCTTCACTCCAGCCCCCCTGTGCATGTCTGACCAAGTTCAAAGTCTCCTACCCAAGCGGTAACTTGATATACGAACTTTCCCAGTGTCTGCTTTTCACTTTCCCCGTTCACATCACCTCCCACGCCAGTCCCGTGAAGATGCCTGCTGCCTTCCGCGCAGGGACTTCAGGAGCAGATGTGCGTGATGGGCGCTGTTGACCCCACCACAGTGACAAAGCCGCCGAACTGACCAGCCACGTCATGAAATAAATTCCGATGTGGCTTTGTTCGCCCACCGCCAAATCCACGCAGGGCCGTTCTGAACGTCAGTCACTGGCAGCAACAGTGTGGAAGGAAAGGGGCCGTGTGCTAAGCCTGAAAGCTCAGGGGGGCCTGCAAGGCAGCCTTACAAACTTGGGGACCCAAAGTAGCCACAAAGGAGGGTCTGGAATTAAAGCTTATTAACTAAAAGCAGTTTGTGGCAGGTAGTCACACCCTAGGCTCACTGGTAAATAACATTTTACCCTTCTTCACAGAATAGCTTTTTCAGCACAGATTATCTGCTGATCTTCCAGCAGCACTGCCCTCCTGGTCGTGGGTGTGTGCCGCTCGCTGCTTGTTTCAGCAGCCGCCCGGCCCAGAATGTCCCGGCGCACACCAGGGCGGGGCGGGGCTGAACAGTGTGCGGTGGCCGCAGGTCCAGGGCTGCTCTCCTGTGCGGTTCGCTGCTTTGTTTAAAGGACAAATGATGAGTCCAATGAGGTCTACACTGGTTACGTGCACAGAATCTCTCTGACATGTGATTTCCCCATTTTCCCTCAGTCACTCATGGGTTAGATTAACTGAATCTTTATGTGGCTGAGAGGCCCCCGATTCTGCTTCCTGCCTGGGACTTCCATGGGGAGACACAGCAGGGGGCTTGCACAAGCACTTGCCCAGGGACCACCACCAGCTACCGAGGGTCTGACTCAAGCCAGTCGGCCGGACCCTCATTGTTAGTGTCCCCCACCTGCTCTCCCCCTCCCGCCTTAGTCCTGTCGAGTCCCCGCTGAGACCCAGGGATGGGCCGGCAGACGTCCATCCTCGGTTTGGATCCAGATCTCACTGCTGGTGAGGAAAAGGCCCTGGTTCCTGCTGGGACCCCCGCCCAGGAGAAACCCTGCTGGTGGGGAATGGGGGTCAGCGGCGCAGTGCTAGCAGGAGCCTGGAGGAGGCTGGCACGCTGGCTGTGGAGGGGCCCAGGGTCGGGTCGGCCCCAGGTGGAACACGGCGCTGGTCGGAGCCTCGCCTCAGCGCAGTCAGGGGGCCCATCACACAGCGCTCCAGAGTCCCTGCTACAGCACCCGCCACCACATGCGTGGCGAGAAGCCCCAGCCAGCAGCCCCTCATGGTCAGGGCCAGAGCCCAGGTCCTGCCCCACCAGCGGCCTGCGGGCCCCACACAGCCAGCGCCCGGGCCCTGTGAGTCCACGCCCCGGGGCCAGCCTCTGACTTCTCCATCTGGTTTGACTGACAGAACTGTGGACAAAGGCGCTCACATACCCATTCCACTCGCAGCTTGACTCCTACCAGGTCAGTCCACTGTCTAGAGACTTTGTCAGGGAGACACTCCACAAGTGGACTCTGTCCATTCTGAGTTAACTTCAGCTGGACGAAATACGGATGAATGAAGGCTCTTCCCGACTGATTACAAACACAGCTTTTGTTTTTCAATGTGTGAGTCCTCAAGAGTGTTTAGAGCTTTGAAGTATGGGTGGTGAGTCTTCCACATTTATAACCCTTATAGTGTGCGTCCTTCCGTGTTGTCTAAGATTAAAATACTTACTGAAGGCCTTTCCGCACAGATAGCACTTGTACGGCTTCTCTCCGGTGTGAATCCGCTGATGCAGTGCGAAGTTGTAGCTTCTGTTGAAGGCCTTGCCACATAGGCCGCATTCGTACGGCTTCTCGCCAGTGTGAGTCCTCTCGTGTCGCCTGAGGACAGAAGAGTGGGTGAAGGCTTTCCCACACAGGTGACACCTGTACGGCTTCTCCCCAGTGTGTGTCCTTGCGTGTCGTTTCAGGACAGAAGAGTCGGCGAAGGCTTTCCAGCACAACCGACACTCGTAGGGCTTCTCCCCCGTGTGTGTCCTCGAGTGTCGTCTGAGGACAGAAGAGTCAGAGAAGGCTTTTCCACATTGACGACACTCGTAGGGCTTCTCTCCGGTGTGAGTTCTCTCGTGTTTGCCAAGGTGGGAACGGTGGGTGAAGGCCTTCCCACACAGGTGACATTCGTGTGGCTTCTCCTGATTGTGAGTCCGCTCGTGTTGTCTCAGGTAAGACACTTTACTGAAGGCTTTCCCACAGAGATGGCACGCATATGGCTTCTCTCCAAAGTGCGTCCTCTCGTGCTTCCTCATGTCAGAGCAGTGAGTGAAGGCCTTGCCACACAGGTGACACCCGTGCGGCTTCTCACGAGTGTGAATGACCTCATGTCGTCTAAGGTTGTAACTTTTACTGAAGGCTTTCCCACAGAGATGGCACGCATGTGGCTTCTCTCCAAAGTGCGTCCTCTCGTGCTTCCTGAGGTCAGAGCAGTGAGTGAAGGCCTTGCCACACAGGTGACACCCGTGCGGTTTCTCTCCAGTGTGAATCATCTCGTGCCTTCTGCGGTTCGCAGCATTACGGAAGGCTTTCCCACACACGTGACACTCAAAGGCCTTCTCTCCACCCTGGGCTCTGCGGTGCTGTCTGGCGGCAGAGCGTCGAGTCAAAGCGCTCCCACCCTGACACTCGTGTGGCTTACTCCTCACACCGCCTGGTTTATCCTGATCAAAGTGACTGACCACTCTTCTAAATTCTTGGATGATGTGGGGTTTCTCTCCATTGCGAGGTATCATACATGGAGTCAATGTTAAGATTTCAGTAAAATTTTCTCCCAGGTCATTACATTCAAAAAGATCTTCTTCAGTAGGAAATCTCTGCTTTTTGAAAAAAATGAGACACTGTTAGAGGTTTAGCTGCATTTATCCACCCCTTCACACATTTCTCTACACATACACTGCATTCTGGAGTGATCGTTCTGTGGCAGCCCCAGTTAAAACTGTTCCCATCCCTCATGCAAACGTGGGCATTACTCTCCCATGTACAGAAGGGTTTTCTCTCTTGTGGCATCCCAGCAGCAGCAGCTGTGTGATTAATTTTTAGATGTTAGGTTTCAAAGAGTGGTTGAACCAGGGTTATACCACTGCATATCAGATCTCAGGTTATAGTTTTGACTTCAGGTTAAATTTCTTCCCTAAAACCAAACTAACCAAAGCTTTCTCGTGCAAGAGCCCATGGTTCCAACTGCAATCAGTCAGGTCACTATGCCAAGTGTACGACTTGCTCACCTCCCAGGGCTGTACTTGGAAGGACAGGATCACACACACTGAACTTACCATGTCCCTGACTAGGGACGTGTCCTTCCTGTGGAAACGTTGAGTGGATGTCCTTTCTTGTTTTTTAAAATCATCTTTCCTGTCTGAAATAACTGGGAAAAAATAGACCTGCGTTATGAGGATTACCATGGCGAAGAGACCCAATGCCCATTGCAGTATGTTTCACATGTTAACACGCGAACGGGAAAGAATGTCAAAGTAGGGAGTGCTTTAAGAAGAAACACATTGCAGACATCAACAATTGACATTTTCTGAGGTAGAATTTGAAAAGAACAAAATGAATGGCAACTTGGGGAGGAAGAGAGAAAATTTTTGTTGAATAGGTCCATGAAAAAGGACATTTTGTGAATTAAAAAAATAAAAAACATCACTGTTATTGGCAAGTCAGGGACACCATGGGCAGTTTCATGAACAGCAGAACAAGACAGTCCCCAGACAACGAAGTGCAGAATGACCGCAGGCAAGTTACACTCTTCACCCCCGACCTCGTCCTCAGCAGCGCCTGCTCCGTCCCCCTCACAGTCCTCCTTAAGGGCAGCCACGTCCTTGCGGGCCGCACGCCCTCACCCATGTCCCAGTGGACAGAGGCTTGCTGGGCAAAGCCCAGGCCACACCTGTGGTCCAGGCAGGCCCGGGCCTCGGCAACAGCTGGGTGTTGCTCGGCGTGCACGCAGCGTGCTCACTTTCCCCAGGTCTGCACCAGCACCTCCGCGGGAGGAGGTCGTGACCCCAGCTCTGAAGCCAGCGGGCCCCAGCCCACACACTGGGTGCTGCACTTGGACTCGGTGGTGCTGACGGCAGCACTGTCGTCCTTGGAAACCATGTCACGAAAAGAGAACAGGCAGCAAGCTAGTCAAGGTGGAGAGGTCACACGTCACCATGTGGTCGAAGGGCTCAAAGCAGGTGGCGGTGGTCTCTGCCGCAGTAGCTGTTTGCAGTGGGCTTTCTCAGCAGAGACGACGGGGGCATGGGTGGCCAAAGGGAAGTGCACTCTGGGACGGGGCACCAGGCTGGCGTGGATGCTGTGAGGTCAGCGCTCAGGGCTCCGCCGGACCCCAGGGCTGGCTGAAAAGACGGTTACGGTCAGTGCAGGCTGGGTGCTCACTGTCGAGGCTTCTACGATGGATGTCGTAGGTGGCGTTGTGGTCAGCCGTGAAAGCACAGTCGGAGTGCTCCAGGCGTGTGGGCGGTGAGGAGGGGTCACAGGGCTCAACGACAAGTGTGAAGCTTGGCGGGGGACGGGGAACGGTGAACAGAGAACTCCTGTGAGGACATGAATATAACCTTCCCCGAAACCAAAGACAACGAGAGACCCTTGAATAGAAGTTAATACCTGCAAATCTGAAGAATTTGTCTCCTACGTTTAAAACACATGACTGAACTGAAAGGTCTTCATTTACTCACGTGCAGAGCCCACTCCCTCCCCAGCCAGGTCCTCCTCCCCCCGAGGCCCCGCACAGGGTGCTCACCTGGACTCTGGCCTTGCAGCCCGCCTGTCCCATCTCTTGACAGCTGCTCTCCCTCCTTCCACTGGGAAATCACATCGGATTTGTGGAGCCGACTGCCTGCTTATAGGAAAATGACACATGGAATTTGTTCTGTGCTGCTAACAGTACATGACCATCAACACAGGGTCAAGTCACAAGAAAGAGGAAGTTCACCATGGAGGTCAGCTTACGGAAGATTGTATCGAAAACAGAATGGACAGTTCTCCTCCAGCAAAAACATGGCTTTTGAACTTGCTCCAAAAGCTCTTAAGGACCTGTCATGCTGATGCCCATGCCCAAGTTCAAAGACAGACTGCAGAGTCACCGATATTTTCACTCAGTGAGAAAATACAAGTTTCCACAGTATTTGACTATTATAGCCAAAAAAAATCCAATAAATACAACTTCTACCAGAAAAAAAAACAAAACTAAATTCTATGTGGAAAACAAAATGTCCTGTTATTTTTAATACTGTGTACTGGTCTGACCTCAGTCCCCGCAGCAAAACAGTAATTAAAAGAAATCAACGCATTCACTTGCCCATCAAGAACAGCGAGTGATGAGAGACCCACCGGTCGAGAGCAGGTGGCTGATGCTCTCCAGCATCACGTCGGTGAACAGCCTCCTCTGGGACGCGTCCAGCAGGGCCCACTCTTCCCGGGTGAAGTCGACGGCCACGTCCTCGAAGGACACCGCTTCCTGAGGCAGCGCGGACGCCGCTTCAGACAGGGTTGTGCCCACCCACCTCCGGGGAGGATGGCGCGGGCGGGCGACAGCCCTGCGCAGGTGGCGGCGGACTGTGCCGAAGGGTCTGACAGTGTTTTGGGTCTAGTCACGTTGTTCTCGTCACTCACCTGGACACCTGACTCTGAGGGACACCCACAGAGACGTGCCCACTGCAAACACACAGAACTCCATTGTGAAGAAATACCATACGAGGTGTGGTGTGATGTGACCTGGATCCCGGCAAATGGGCCATCGTGACTGCAAATCACGATTATGAAATCTGCCCTGAAAGTTTGTGATTAAAACACTCTTCCCCACCAACGTCAAGGAAACCTACAGTCTCATCACAAGGAACGTAGCGTCCACCGTCAGCTGCTTTTTACCAGGACTACGGCAGGCTGTCCGCCTTTGTCACCTGTCCCCTCATCAGTGAGCTCATTTAACAGCTGTGAATTTTTAAAGGTCCAGTGAGCATGTGGAAAGTGACAACCATCGAGCAAACACTGTTAAATACAAGCTCTGTGCTTGTTATCCAGTGAAGGGCAGAAGACGCTGAGACGCGTCCGGAACTCTGCAGCACTGGACACAGAGCACAGAGCACGTGGGATCGGCACGCACAGCCTGCCGTCGCCTCAGGCTCCGACGCTCGCTGCCAAGTGTGCAGACAGGGCTGGGCAGCACTGGCCAGAGACTCTGGGACCCCTGTGCTGGAGGACGGGCAGGCTCCAGTCCGCCCGGGGTCTGAGCCCCCTCTCATGCAACTGTCCTAGGACCCCCGAACACCAGTTGCCCTCGCCCCTTTCGTCGCCTCACCCCGCACCCCTGAAGCCTTGACTGTTCTGGCCTCTTTGGTTCATCGGAAACTCCCACGAGGCCCCAGGTGTCACTCTGCCTCCTGCACTGCTCCTGGGTCACAGCCAGAATGAAGGACTCAGCGCTCCGTGTGCTGTGCTTGCACTTAATCAAGGTTGGTGAAAGGGGAATTACAAAAAAAGAAAATTCATGATTTGGGACAAAAGAATCATGAGTATTTTAGTTTTCCTTTTTAGATTTCAAAAAGTACAAACATATTCTACCAAAACTTGAGGAGGTTTGGAACTGGACCAAAGCAAAGAATGACTTCTCGCGTGCCCTCTGGCGTGACCACTGTGTGCTTCCCCCAGCCCCGGCCAGCACCCCCGCACCCCAGCACCCCAGCACCTGTGACACGGGATGGACTGAGCTCACCCGTGGGAACGTCTGCCTCCCTTTCCAGCTATAATATTTTGCTCCTTCCTCAATTCTGAGGCCATCACAATTAATAATATGGTTAGTGTGTAACTTTCTTGTTTTGTTAACAATGCCATGGATTAGACGGGGAGAATGAAAGCTTTCTCGTCTGTGCTGTGAACACACACACACTGACAGAGACTGGAGCATCTTGGTTGCCAGGAGAGAGACCACCGCGGAACCTGTCTGTGCCTCAGCATGAGCACCCCAGAGTCCTGGGGAAGCCAAGCTGCGGGGCAGGTGCTGGAGAAGTCTCCCGAGCGCACGCAGGACATCGGTGCCGGCAGGAGAAACACACGTGCTCTGGCTGTAACTGAGATGCACTCTCAACGGAAAGAGTGATGGTCACCTCACCTGCGACTCCATGTCACCAGCTCCGCTGCCAACCGTCCTCTGGGTCTTCACCACACAGGTGGCAAAGCTGGGGAAGGAGAGGGAAGCCATGAGACCTCATCATCTACAGTTCCCAGACCCAGCTGTCCCGGAGCCCCAGTGCCTCCCCAGCCCAGCTGACAGCGACAGGCAGCGTGGCCTGAGACGCAGTGGGAAGCCCTCCCCACCCAGGGCCAGGAGGCTGGTGACCGATGCTCCGAAGAAGCTCCGCACGCCTTCGCCTTAGAGGAGCCGAGAGCTGCAGGGCTGCATGCTCACGGGCCCACGACGCCCAGGGTTCTCGACTCGCTCTCGATCCCCGACTCGTGCCACACGTGCCTCTACCTCCAGCCTCCACGGAGAGACCGCTCAGGTTCCGTCTTCGTAGTTTGCTCACAAGCAGCGTCTCTCCTGCTCCGTGCAGCAGCCTGGTCCCTCAGTCCAGCCCTACCACTCCTGCCGCCGGCCCCCGCGCACGCTTGTCCTGGACAGTCCGTCTCTCCAGGTGAGGTTCCCACGAACATCGAGCCCTCCACCTGACCTTCAGGTTTGTGCTGCATGAAGATGGTTATGAACCAAGGGAGCTGGGAATACTTTTCATGATAGGGTTCATCAATTCAGTGACTTACTCCATTTAGAGGAACGGCATCCACCTTGCAAATGTACCCCTGAAGGCCCCTTGCGTCAGAGACCAGCGTGTGTGGGTCACAGAACGACTCTCCCGTTCAGCGTCCTCATGGGCCAGTGGGCTTGGAGGACACAGAAGGAAGGCATCGTGGGAGGAAGTTCAGTTGTTCCGTCTGATGTTTTTAGAAAAGCAGCAGCTGAAATCCTGCCCTTACCAGTCATTGTTAGCAGGAATTTCCCCAATTTCATTATTTATTTCAGTGTGTGTGTGTGTGAGACAGCATGTATAAAGTTATGTAAATGTTCCCTTAAAACATCAATAATCATGTGTATTTCACAAATGACAATAATAATGAGTCATAACAGAATTAGGTTTAATTCACCCATTTGTAACTTATAACGGTAAAGTTTTAGTAAATGTAACTCTATGCTTAAAGAGTTACATATATTTGCTTCCTGATTCCTCAGAATAAACCTGCTGATTATGGCTCATTTATAAATTTAATAGATGATGTGATCTGAGGTTCAGAACTTCGGTAATGTGACAAAATCAAATGCATGCAAGCACAGAAATGCATGCAAGCACATGTTAGAAAGTGGCATAGGTATAGTTTGAATTCGTCTCTGCCTCCTTCTGAGTTCAAATTCTTCCAGGGTCACATACCTTACCCAGACTTTACCTAGAATCATACCTTTAACATTAAAATTCAGAGGCTCCACTCGGTTTTTGTGACGTAGTCTCCTTCTTGCCTTTTCACAGAAAATCTCTCCCCACACCCACGTTGCATGTCACAGGGGGCCACGGCATTGCCCCCGCTCACCCCCTCCCCTCTACCGCCCGGCTCCCGGCTCCAGTGGGTGTCGGCCGAGGTGAGCATTGTTTCTGACGTGCCCCTGGCCATCAGCCATGTCCGCCGAAGAAGACCCTCCTCACACAGGGCGTCTCCGAAGAGCTCCCTGCCCCACGACTGTGGCTGAGCCAGAGCAACCGGCCTCAGGTCCCATCTTGGGCACTGGCGCCTCTCCCCTGCCTCCAGCACTTGTCTGTGTGCCTCTGAACTCCCACATTCTCGCACTCCCTCACTCTCAACAGATGACACAGTTCCTACCAAGTAGACATGCCATGTGAGTTTAACCTCCAAAAATGTGCAAACGTTCCTGCATTTTTGTCTACAAATATACATGCAGGTATATTTATTCGCATGCACATGCACACATGTGCATGTATGAAGTTCTGGCTGAAGTACAGGGAACCACGTGAGTGGGTGGATGAGAATCTCTCTGCAGTTTGTGTGTGTGTGGGGGGTGCATCTTGCAGGAACTTGTTACATTATGAAGCCCGCCGGCTCCTGACCCAGCCCGGCCCCCCAGAGCAGAAACCTGCAGAGAAGTCTGCTCCCTGCAGCTGCGTGGAAGCCAAGGTCTCACCGGGACACGTGTGCTGGGACAGTTTAAGGTCCCCTACAGCCAGACACGCAGTGACTCCGTTCTAGACAGTTACGAGGCCAGACAAACACCATCATGTGGATGAAACGCCACTTTCGTGGGCCACGCCTGTCAGCTTCCAAGAGCTCCCTCTTCCATGGCAAAGCATCGATACTTCGGGGTGAGAGGCACAGCTTCACGTCCAGCCTCAGACGCCCTGCACAGTCAGGTGAAGCATGCTGCACCTCATCCCACTCCGCTCCTGACTTCTCAGGCAGTCCCCGCACGATTCACGCGGGCCGACGGCTCGTGCAGACCTGGTTCCGTGCGAGCCGGGTCCCAGAGGCCGGTCTGTCTGCCTGAGGGCGTGAGCGCGAGGGACTGGCTCTGGAAGCAGGAGAGGACAGCAGGCAGGCCAGGGCGGGAGGGAAACGGGCAGCACAGGGCACTTGAGACGGCCACGGGTCCGCGCGCACGAACAGCAGCGTGTCCGGAGCAGGAGCCGGAGGAGCCGACTGTCTGCCGGGGCAGGGCCGAGGCCGAGCCTTCCGCCCCCCTTCGCCGCTGCTCTGAGGTCCCTCCTCCGGCGACTTGGCTCGCTCGTGGCTCCGGGTTCAGAACGCGCCATCCGGGTCTCCCCGCCGCCCCGCTCCGCCCCGCCCCGCCCACGCCCCCTACCGGTCGCTCTCCCACTCGCCCTGCGCCCACGGCACCCACCCGCCTCCCACCCTCCGCGCCCGCCCGTTGAACAGCCCTCGCCCTCCCTCACTCCCCCGCCGGCCCCCGCCGCTCCCCCTTTGTCCCCACCCTCTCGCCACAGGCCGACCTGCGCGGGACGGAGTCAAGGGGCCCTCTGCCCTCCCGGGGGGATGCCGAGCCGGCGAACACTGCCACGCACGGACAGCGGAGCGGATTTGGGACCGAAGGGTGGCAGCGCCCGGGATGGCAGCGCCCCCTCCCCCAGCGCCTGGGGACGGCGCCTCGGGGAGGTGGTCGCCGCGAAGGCCGGCCTGGGGGTCCGCAGGACCGGGGCCCGGGACTGCGCTGCGTCCTTGGGGCGAGAAGCCACGTCGCCAACGGGAGCTGAACACCACCCGGTGCGGGGCGGCCTCGGAGTGCCTGTGACCAGAACCGGAAAGGACTCTGAGCGGCGCCGGAGCGCTCGCCTCGGGGCCTCTCGGGACAGCGGGGACTGTGGGCGCACAGGCAGGGACACTCGCGAGGACGCCCGGACCCGGGTGCGGAGGACGCTGGGGGCCGGAGGCCGGAGGTAAAGCTCAGAGAACGGAGCTCACTCACCCAGCCAGGACCCTCGCTCGGGGAAATCGCCTTCTGCGCCCACAGGAAATTACGCCGGGTGGGGGGGCCTCGGCTAGGAAAGGCGGGTTGGAGACCGCGTGGGCTTCTAGGGGCGGGGCCTGAGGGCGGGGGCGGGGCCGGGGTCGGACCGAGAGGCCGGAGCCGCGAGTGGCACGGTCAGGGGGCGTGTCTTGAGAGGGCGGGGCCTTAGCCTCCGGCCCCGCCCCCGGTTTCTGTTAGCCGCTCCTTCCAGCCAGCGCACCTTGGGTCTCCACGTCTGAGACGGTTGGAGTTTCTTTGGCGCCATGGCAACCTGACTCCTTCCTCCTGACTTCAGTTTAAATGTTTAAGACAGTTCAAGGCAGGAGCTTAGAGTTGTGAGGCCATTTAAACCACTGACAAGTTGATATGGTTTAAGTAAAAATCTGTTTTCCGTGCTGGAGACACGTCTCCTGCGACTTCAGGGGACGCAACGGAGCCTTGGGCTCGGACGACAGCCGCAGCGGGTCCCAAGCGTCGGCGGCTTCTGCACTTGGAAGGGCCGTTCAAGTCAGCAAGGCCTGAGTGGTCTGTGTTGAAGCCTGAAGCCAGCTGTGAACGTGTCCCAGTCGTCATGTTCGCGTTATAATCTTTCTTACACGTCAGTCTTCAGGCTCCGCTCCGGCCATCGGATCTGGGCCTTAAGAGCCGAAGGTGCCTGTACGACTGACCACCAGTCCTCCTGGCGACACCGGCACCGAGAAATAACAGGGGGCCAACACAGGTGACTGTGCTATTCACTCATCTTTTATTAATGCCAATTTAACCCAAATCTACACTACCCTCACGACAGTACTAATTAGACACAATCAGTAATGACATCACACAAGAGAACTGGGCCCCAGGAACCCGGGTCCCAGAGTCTCAGTGTGGGAGACAGCACGGTGAGCAAGGGAGTCATCCGCGTCTTGCAAGGAAGGACCTCTGGAGCCAAGTTCCCAGCAGGGCAGAGCCTCTGGCGCCGATGCCAAGGGAGACCAGTGTTGTGTGGAGCGGCACTCTGATGTGTGGAGCTCAGCTGTCTCAGCAGTGGTCTGGAACCCGCCTCCGTTATACCTTGAAAGTGATGTACTTCGTGTGTCTCGATAAGGGTCTTGACACCGCTGACGAACAGTGGAGAATTTCTCCAGGAGCCTGTCTGTGGGTGGTCCCACTCTGCAGGCATGGCTGTTCCCATCAACTGTGCTGCTGTCTTGGGTGTGTCTCCTTGTCAGATGTGTCTCCTTGTCAGATGTGTCTGGCGTGCCTTACATAGTTTCCTTCTTGAACCAAAGTATCATGGCTGACTGGCAGCCATCTCGGTTGACATGAGTGACTCCACTTTGTTTCATATACTTCGCACTTCCTTGACTGGACAGATGCCATTTTATTTGTCCTGCTCTCCAACAGAAAGGCACGATGATGCCACGGGATGTGATTTGTGTCTCTAGTTTGTGGTTTGAGTTCCAGTTCACCAGCGGCGAGGCGGGCACAGTCCATTCACCTTTTTTCTGCTTCACACTTGCCGATGTGACTTGTAAATTCAAGACCTCTGGGATGATTCCACAAGTGTGGATGGCATCCCATAAGTTGATTTGGTCATTAATTTGTAAGTATATTGTAACTTCATCTTTTTCTTCATTCACAGAACTATTGGAAAGGGATACATTAAAAAAAAATCCAATGACACATTAAACAACACACAGTAAGACGTTATTCATAGGTGGGGCCGTCTCCATACTTGGCGTAGGGAGCACTGCAAAGAAGGAAAGAGATTGGGCTCAACTTCAAAGGCAGCACAGGGAAACGGGAATTTTTAGCCAAAGAGCAGGGTAGAGAAGAGGAAACACCAGCGGTCAGGGGAATTTGGCTAAACTTGACCTTTGTAATAAGCCATAACCAAAAGAAGGAGAAGAAGGAGAAATAAGCATGACCACCCTCAAAAAGCCCATAATCTTGTTAACTAGTTTGTAATCCAATCCCTGCCTTGCAAATGCATAAAAGGATGGCCAAAGTGTTCTTCTCTGAGCTCCTGCTTCCCAGTAATTGTGTCAGTTTGGCTCAAATAAATTCTTATAAACATTCTTTACATGGTTGGATGTTTCTTACATCAATAATGGAGAGAAGAGGTGCAAGCCTGGGAACTACTGTATTTTTCGGATTGCAAGATGCACTCCCCACCCCAAATTTGGGAGGAAAATGGGGGGTGCATCTTATAGTCCGAATGTAGCTTACCTGGTTTGCTGTGGCGGGGGGGGGGGGCGGTGGTGGAGCGGGGTCACGGGTTATTAAATATTGTACCACATTTTTTGCTTAAAAAATTTTTCTCCTATTTTCCTGCTCTAAAACCTAGGTACGTCTTTTGGTCCGGTGTGTCTTCTAGTCCTAAAACTATGGTATTCCTGTTCTGGGACCCTTTCCCAAGACTCCTGAGTGCCCTTGAACACAACGCCCGTTTCCCCTGCCATCCACAGGAAGCCCTGCTCTTCCCTCACTTCTGCCCCACCCCAGGCCCCAGGTCCCCTCGCCTTCCCCAACAGGCCGGCACCCTTAGGAACACAACTGTTTCTGAACAAGGTTCACTTCGCAGAGAGAAGACCAGAGCCTGGACTTGCCCCCACTGGGGCAGCTGCTGTCTCAGAAATGGCTGCTTCGTGTCCTGCTGGTGAGAGGTCGTGTGTGTCGGCCGGCCGGCCTGTCACATGACTGGGAGGGAGGAGAGAGAGCTGTCCCCTGAGCTTCTCAGGGAGAAACGAGGTCAGCCCCTGCGACTGCAGGCGAGGCCCCACCGGCCACCTGCCCTCCTGTCCTTGGTGCCCAGGACAGCGGACCGGGCTGCGCGGTTCACTTGCTGCCGGGGTCACGGTGCCCACGGGGCTCGCTCTCTGTGGCATGTTCAGTGCACGACCGCTCAGTCCGGCCCAGCCTCTCCCCCAGCCTGCGGCGAGCCTCACGCTGGGCCCAGTGTGGATGTGCCCTGGGCCCCCCGGCTGTCTGTCCTGGCCCGGGTCACCACTGCCCGAGTCTAGGGAAGGCATTCCAGGCCCAGTCTCAGTGCTGGCGCCCCGTCTTCCGTCCACCCGGAGAGGACTTCTCCTTCCTTTGCCATTGCTCAGAGTGTTCATTTTTAATCACTTATGGCTCGTTTAATCTTGAATGACAGTGTTTTGTGGGCGTGTCTTATCTCCCCCGCCAGCTTCTGTGACCCCAGAAGATCAGTCCTTGAGTCTGGGGTCAGCTCTCACTCGTCTCCATCCACAGTCTCAGCACAGAGCGTGGGCATGCTGTGGAATGAATGAATTTTGATTTCAGTTGTGTGGCGGATGGGGGGGTGGAAGGAAGCTTGAAACGATTTGGGAAATGCTGCGTAGGGCTTGACATTCTTGGCTCTCTGAGAAAATGCAAAAACGCACCTGTCTGCTAAGAACAGAGTCTGTACAGGAATGGAGAGCCCTTAGTTCGTCTATCTGCCCATCCATCCATCCACCCAATGAACACTTATTGAGCACCTACTATGTGCCAGAAATGATGTGCAGTGTGGAGGTGCAGTAGTAAGACCTAAGTTCTAGCTCACACGGAGACTCTGTTCGAGTCCAGAGAGACCGGCAACTAGCAGGGAGCTGCGCAGCGTTAGGAGCCACGGTGCACTGCAGCCAGAGCGAGGTGTGTGCGGGGCAGCTGGGCAGGGAGCCGCGGGAGGCCTGCGGGCTGAGTCACTCAGCAGGGTGGTCCTGGGAAGATCTGGGCAAGAGCCGAGCAGAAGGCGGGGCAGATGGGACAAAGCTTTAAGGTCTGGGAAGGTGGAGAGCAAGGTGGGTGCCAGGCGCAGAGGAAGCAAAAAGCAACTGGATCGTGGAGAACAGGGTGCTGGCCGAAGACAGCAGTTCCACAGGGCGGTGGCTGGTGCGGGGGCGGGGGAGCAGCAGACAGCGGGTGCTCGGGCTGCAGGCTGCAGCGGGGACTGCGGTCTGGACTCCACGTACTTGTCGAGTTCAGACTTGGGCAGCTTTTCTGGGTCTTAGTTTCCTCATCTGTAAAATGCCCAACTTCCAGAGTTCTCGTGAAGATTAAGTGCTGTAACAGAGATAAGCACCCACCCTGCTGTGTCTGCATCGATGGGCACCTGCAGCCCAGGTAGTATGCTGAACGCCAGCACTACCAGGCCAGGGGGTGGCCGGGCTCGTCAGTCAGCGTGTGTCCACGTGCGTGCCTCCTCCTCCACTCCAGGCTCCCCCCTCCCTCCCTCCCTCCCTCCCACTGCCCCGATCTTTCTCCTTCCGTCGTCACCTCTTCCACCCTCTGGTCTCTCTCTTTTTAACCACAAT